TGTAAGTTCTAATCAAATACTGTCTGTAGTTTACGCGAGTAGTACACATTCAAATAAAACACTTTAACTTCTGAAAAGTCGCGTGTTAAATATAATTTCAAAAGGTTAAACTTAAATGTGTCACGTTTTAAACCGTTAAAGATTTATTTAAATTCTAATGAAAAATATTTCTGTAACACTATGAATTCTTCTTATAGATTTTAAAACATTATAAATTATTAAAATTGACTACGTGCCGACTGGACATTAAAAACGTTACGAACCGCCGCCCACATGAACATGAAACTAAATTTCGGTCTGTGGACTTTCGAATTCCAAAGATATTGACAAATCTGTAAATTTATTATGGCTGGACTATAATTTATGACAGAAAAAAAAAAACGGGTGTGTGTCCCCCTCTATCGAAGACTTTGAATCATACTAAAGGACTCTATAAAAAGAAACTGTTGTATCTGACACAATCGCACTTCTTATTATATTTAATTAATGACTGACGTTTAGCTCTATCTCGTTAGCAGCAGTGTTGAGCTTAAAGCGTCTGGGGTAGATATGATATTGTAGCTATAACATTGTCTTTATCACAATATAAAGACTATTATTTAATTATAAATGAAGCACAAGGTAATATAAACAAACATAACTGTCTTTAAAGATTTGCTATTGAATGTAGAAAATAAAAAATATATAAATTAAAAATCGATTATGGATTGAAAAAAAATAACGACACAAGCAGGACTCGAACCGGCATCCGCAACGTTCCGTGCTCTATAAAATTGAGCTACCGTACACGAACTACCCTCAACTAGATAAATAATATATATTTTTATAGAAGATAGACATAAAATATTTATTATTGTCCGCATTTAAACAGTTGCACGTTTAAACAATATAGCGACAAGTATATTGTATATGTCTAAATAATATAATAAGGAAAGGAAAAAAGGTATGTGCTTTATATAGGTGTCAAATTAATTTTGGACAATACCCAGCTTATCCTGAATTCTCTCATCGTTATATTATTGTGTCAACAAATAGGGGACACAAAAACAAAACCTTTTAAGCTCATTCAAATGACACGAAGTAATAATTACCATAAAAGGGTACGTGCAAGGGTAAGCACGAAAACCCTCATTTATAAAATTCTATTCAAATTTCATCGCACACTTGGCGAACTAACGAAAAATTATCCATATACGAAATTAGTACGTAGGCGATAGAAGTTGAAACACAAATTTAATCAAAATATTATATCCCAAATTTCTAAATGCTAACTCTCGCGTGGAAACTTGTATGGCTTTTAATACAACGTCAAATGAATTTTAAGAGCCTCCGCCATGGTAGGTATAAAGTTTAAAGTTTATTTGATTTCTAATTTAAAAAAATTACCGGTTTTAAACAAGAAATATATTAGTCAACGTATTTACAATTTATTTTAACTACGACCGTTTTACCATTTTAGACCGTGAAAAGTGTTTTTTTTTAATCTGTACTCGCGTAAACTACAGACAATACAAAATTTATTTCACTTTACACAGAATATAGCGACTACGGTTATTTAAGCCTTAATTTACACAATGACACGGGCTTAGTCATGAAACTCATACGAACTTTGAAATATAAATTTTACCGAACCTTAATAAAATGTAGGATTACTGGTCTAAAACTATTCAGTGTTGTGTACAATTTTCGTTCTCTGGTGCAAAAACTTTCATAATAATTTTTCTTTCAAAAAAATATTCGTACCTAATCTTTGTGAATAATTAAATGTATACATACTTGTAGCGTTATTTAAAAATAAGGTTGACAGGTTCTAAAAAACTCTTTACATACACTATTAAATACAAACATCTTATGAAATATTTTTTATGTTTCGAATCCTTCTTGGGGGAAATTGGTAATAGTTGTTAGTATAGACGTTTACCCTAAATAAAATATACTCGCTTGTTTAATTAATAGTAATTCCAAGAAGGTAGTACATTCGTGAGTTAATAATAGAAAGAAAAAAATATCACTTACAGCTTATATAGTTTTTAATATAGAGTACCTAAGTATATTCTACGCATTACCGCCTCTGTAGCTAAGTGGTTAAGCGTGTGCCTAGCATTGTGTTGAGCGCGAGAGGTCACGCGCGAGAATCCCGGGGAAACAGTAATTGTTTCAGTCGGGCAGGGCACAGAAATCTATAAATAAAACCGATCAGTAAAACGGACACCAGCAATGTTCGCCCACGCAACACAGCGTGATTTAGTTATATTGTCACATTAAAAAGTTATTTATACCGTACCTTTAACATTCTTGCTGACTGTACCCATCTACTAATTCTGATGAAAACGTACGCACGTGTTTATTTCTCTTTATTTCATAATATGTCAAGCCGGTGGAATCCATGTCGTTTAGGTGCGGTTTAGTGTCGTGAAAGCGCGCAGGTCGACTTAATAAAAGCGTCTACCTTCCATTAAAATGTTTATGTACACAGTTAAGTTTAACGATCTACGCACCAAGTCTGCCATCACTATAATATATTGCTTTAAGTGTGATCTTGAGTAATAATGCTACAATATCGTGGGAGTTCTTGGTATGTTTATAACTATTTATTTATGAACGGAAGCTTTATTACGGTCTCAAATTACAAGTTCTTAAAATGACTTTTATAACATTTTATACTAATTTAATATAAGCGTATCTTTTTCTCGCTGTCTTAGAAATAAAATAAAATTGCCTTAATTTTTGCTAAGAGAATTCTATAATTTCTGAACATGTCTAAAACAGGTTATGGACAAATTGGTTATAATAATTATTAGATTGACATTGATTATCTAAATGAGCATTGAATATTGTTTTTACTCTATAGTCAATAGTACGTACGTATAAACAAAAAAAATATAATTTTTATATTTCGATAATAAATGCATTATCTTTTACTAGCTGTGTGTGCGTAGAATGGTTATAGTTTGTTTTTAAAACCTCTTTTTTACTTAAACTGCTATCCGACATCGACATCGGACGTCCCGTCGCTCGATGTTTTAGCCTATAGCCTCCTTACATAAATGATAAACTAGCACACAAAAATATTTTTCAATTCAAACCAGTAGTTCCCGAGATTACTTAGCGCGTTCAAACAAACAAACCAACTCTATATATATATATAGTATTAGTATACATTAAAAAACAATTTCTGGTACAATTTCTCGTTTCGCCGAACGTTTGTTTTATGTATTATATGTATATATGTAATACATAAAACAATTGTTCGGCGAAACTATAGTTAATAATTTCTAAATAACGATTCTTTATTGGGAAATGTATCGTACCTATTTCAGAGAACTTACGTAATATCAAATATCCTTTTGTTATTGGTGTCTGAATACGGTTTAAATCCCTTATCTAAATTAATGTTTATATCTTTTACGACGAACAATGGGCTTTTATAAATCTATTTAGTTTATAGGTTCCTTTATATTCGCCCATTTAATTAAAAGAGCGAATTATTCATAATACTCTTTGTACACAATAACAATTATTTTAACTGTGTAGGTAAGATATTGTAATCTTAGTCTTCAATGTAACACTTAGTAAATCACCTTAGTTTTATAACTACAAAGTTTTAATTTGAAAATACCATCATCATATTCAAATACAATCATGAAAATATTATCAACTAGCGGCCCTGTCCCGGCTTCGCAGACATAAATAAGTACAAAAATTGAAATTATAAGCATGCTAATTAAAACGACTATGAATCACTAAATTAGAAAAAAAAATGTATTGCTCGTCCTCTCTGTTAACGACCGCGGTCTATCTCGCTGGTTCAGGAGTCGCTGCGAGCATTCAGTGTTAGTGTCCCGTGCACGCGTTCGCGAATTCCTAGCTCTATTTCCTTCAAGTCGCTGAGACGATCTTGCATTTTGTTCTGGAAGACGAAATTGAACGTTCGACGCTAGATTCTCTGGCTCGCGATTGGGACGTGTACACTCTAATACTTTCCAGACGATCATTTTAGGAAGAAGACTCTTCAATACGACGAACTTTTGCTAATCTCGCTTGGAAACTATTCTTAGATAGCTGCGACCTTCTTCTTCTAGGCATATTGCTATGAAGGATATTTATTTTAAATCAGAGAAATGAAGAATAAACTAATAATAATACAAAAGAAAATATTCAAGTTCAAAGCGATAGTTCTGCAAATAACTTTGACAAACACTGTCTATAGTTTACGCGAGTAGTACACATTTAAATAAAACACTTTAACGGTTTAAAACGCGATATATTAGTTAAACTTAATTGATAATGATTTTAAACTTCGGCCCGACGTTTCGGATGCTTTGCAGCAGCCGTGACCATAGTCTTTTGATCACGGTTGGATTTTGATCGGCATTTCTATTAATTTGTTAAATGTAAAAAAGTAGTTATAACGTAACTACAATAGTTAGACATATGCTCTCGCGATGTTTTTTGTACATATTGATATATTCTTTAATATTGTCGAACATTTTTTTGTCCTATCATTAATAGTTTTCGCAGGGTATGCCAAAAAAGACATTTTACGGCAAATTTTCTGACACCTTCCTTTGGTCTTAGTAAGAATTTCTATAGATGCCTATAGTAATCAAGTATTCAATATAGCCTTTGTTACTCAGTGATAATGAAGCTTTCTAATGAAAAAAGAATTATTAAAATCGGTCCAGTACTTTTTGAGTTTATCCGTTACATACAAAAATACAAATCTTTCCTCTTTATAATATTAGTATAGATTATAATATCCTTTTCAAGCTGTGGCTTATAATTATACTGAGTAGCATCTATACTGTTTGAAGTAACAAATGTCATTCAAAGTCAATGTCAGTAGTATTTCATATGGTACTGTCAATTTTGTATATTTATGAGTAAACACTGTACGAGTCTAAAATTTTGAGGTTATTTATTGTTTTCAATTTCGTATTGCTTGAATAAGGTGCTTCTTATTATATCACACGTTTAGGTAGTTTTATTTAGATAGCAATATGAAAATATCTGAGGTACGTTGAGCCATGTACTATACAATGTGTTACATATTACCGTATTTACTTCTGTGTGGCTGTTATCCTCAAAATGATTTGATTAATGTATATTCTACAGCTTCCAGGTGATGAGAGTTCAGGTTTGACCTGCCGAACCTATGTTATACAGAATGAAAGCCATACGTTAGGAAATGCTTTGAAGTGTTTAATAGACAGATAGTAAGTAAGAGATTGTATTATTTTATTGCCTAATTTTAAACAGTCAAGAAATATGCATAACGTTTCTGATAGTTTTGCTTTTCAGCCTGGCATGTAATGTTAATAAAACATTACACCTCTGTGCATAAATCACATACTGATATAATTTACTATGTATTTTAAACGGTTGATTAAAATATTTTAGTCTAAGTAAATACATAATATTATTTATACATTTCATTTTCAGTGAAGATGTTCAATTTTGTGGTTACACATTACCGCATCCAGCTGAATCAAAAATTCATTTTAGGATACAAACCCATGAAACGCCAGCTTTAGAAGTCCTTAAAAGAGGATTACATGATCTTCAGAAATTATGCAACCACACGTTAAATTTATTTGAAAAAGAAGTAAAGGAATTTAATAAAACATAGTATAGTGTATTTTGTATTAATTATTTAATTGTTTTTTATGTCAAGTATAATTAAAGAGCTTGCACCTAAAATAAATAAGATTTCAAAAATTGGAATAGATTAGTTCTTTAGATTTCTGGTAACTTTGACCATCAAATGTAGGACCAGGTATGTAGTATTTATAATAATACTCGTAATTTTCAAGCCTTGGTTTAGTATTATGAATAACTGTAAGTTTTGCTTTGATTTTGAAAAAAAATCTTTTAAATTTATATTAATATTAGTTTGCTTTAATACAGCCGTTTCCCCTCAAATTCAAAAGGCTTCCTGTAAGAGTCCTTGTTGCTTGAAGAGAAAAACTTTTTTTATGTTCTTCCACGAGTTCTTTAAATCAAAATACTCTTTAGATTTTATCCAATCAATAAAAATATGAAGATATTAGATAGTTTCATTGTTTTTTGAAAAAAGAATTACAGTCGGTCTAATAGTCCAGGTTGTGTTTGCTTTTTGAAAATATATCCTCGCCGCAGAGGCAGAGGCTCCGACAATTGAATTCTTCTGATACGACACGTTACGGCTTAATACATTTCTATACTATAATAATTATAAATGTATTACACCGATAGCTTTCTGATGCACGTCAGCAAAATGTAAATTCGGTTTTCGATTAAAAATCAAATTTGCGATTTTCAAAACAAAGAAACTTGTAACATATAATTATATAAATTACAGAATAAAATACTTTTATTATTGCTATCAAACATTTTCCAAGGAATTTTTGTTAATAAAATTTAATATTTTTTCTTTTATTGCTTTTCGTTCCTCCTCGGCGAATATGTGGTCCACGGCATTCAGCGCTAATTTTGCTAACTGTGCTGGTTGAAGGTCAAATACATCGGCGCAAATTCTATACTCTTGAGACAAGGATGTCGAGAAGACGCCTTTATCATCCGTCTAAAATTTTTATTAAACTTATTATTATCATTAGGGATTCAAATCAGAATTTGATATCCAGATTTGGATACAAAGTCCAACATGTTTAATATAATTATTATGTATTTATTACAAAAATGTTGAGCAAGATGGGCATCAAACTCATGATCCTTTGATGTAATGTTGCTACCATTAGTCCAATGAGTGAGTGAGAGTTAAATAAACCAATAACTTACACAAATTATAACTGGAACATTTGCTTTGTAAAATTCTTTGAAGTGGTGTGAATTATAATCAGGAGTTGATTTTGTGTTGATATTGCTTGTTAAACATATTTCTGAAACAATTTTATAGTAAAGTAACTTTTAATATTGTTAATTAAAATACTTATTTGTTAGCATATTTACCAACTGGTATTTGCGATTTACACAATGCTTGCCAAGTTTCCTCTGTTCCACCGAAATCAGGATGAATACACACCCCATGACCAATACGATCTGGTTTAAATTGTATCATTTCCATCACCTCTTGGGGATTGCATACTTCACCACAATGCAATGTTACCTGAAAACAAATTACATGAGTATTATTTCAAACACACACAATATCCTAAAAATATTAAATACACAATGTCAACTGTGTGAGAAAAACATGATAAATATTGTAGTAAGGGAAAATTATACACTAAAATGTTATCAGTATTGGAAGTATTCTGATCATATATTCTTTTTACCATTTCCCTCTAAACCCTATTGTCACAAATAAAGTATTATTTTACTTTCAAACCAGCAAATCTAGCACTTGTTAGGGCGGGAATAAAGTCTTCAAATCGCCCAACATTTGGATCTCCACTTAACTCAATACCAACAATGATATCGGGATATTGCTTGTGAAAACTTATTGCTAACTCAGCTATGGACTCTGCTTCTTTTATGGAACTAGTCCTATTTATTGACACAATTAGTCGAGATTTTATTGGGAGGTGTGCATTGTTTCTGAAATTATAGTGCAATGTTAATAAAAATGTTGTATTCATAGCTCATTGTTTGTTAAAATCTATGAGATCTTTGGTCACGTTGGGCATATTGAAAACTCTTTAAGTCTGAAGAAACAAGTCTGCCTTACAGTATAGCATCATATTAAGAAAGAAAGCTAGGGTTTACTATGCTTTGCTTGAGCCAAACACAAGGTTTTAGCTACTGAAATTTGTTTGCGTTATGCTCCGCCCAAATTTTATGCACACGAATAGGTCAATATTTTTGTTTCAAGAGGGACATAGACTAAACTAACCTCATAGCTTCAGCAATAGTTTCAATATACTGCCTGCATGTCATAAATGGAGTTTCTCTGGGTGTACTTCTCAATTCAATATAACAACAACCGTCTTCTTGAAACTCTTTTAATGTCAGTGTTGTAGCCATTGCTAATGCTTCTGGTGTTCGTGTCAGGCGATGCGCAATGTTGAATACTTGAAAGCAACTAAAATATATACATAAACTTTTTAAAATAAACAAAAAAGTGATGACATGTAATTGGATAATCTAGAAATAAGCACAAGAGAAGCTGGATTTGTATACAGCTTACTGCTGACAGTAAATATAAAGTAAATGACTGTTACAACTTTGGGGACTATAACTCTCTTACTCAGAAAGATTCCTTGTATCACCAGCGCCAATTTGAAATTCATCCAAAAATGCATCAGAGGTGTCCGTAATACCCACATCCGCGTAATATCGCTTCAGCTGCAGCATTGTTGCCCGGCTCAAAGACCCGTTTAAATGTGCATGTAGTTCCTGTAATATTTAATAACTTCTGCTTTGCTTGTGACAATTTTGACGAATCGAAATATTTTTTTTAATTTTAAAGAGAATAAAGTATATTTTATTTTATTTCTATAGTCATTGTTAAGTATGTAAATTCAACTTACAACTTTGGGAATTTCAGGGCATAATTTATTTAAATCCATTTCAACTTAGAAGTGTAAAAAGCTATTTCCATCTATTTCCCACTATTTAAAAATTTCAAATTACAAGATTGACACGACTAGACAAGACATTTATAGTTAGTATTATCTGTTAACTATAGACAATACGATATGTTTACACCAAAAAAAATACACTAAAATAAATACTTATTTGTTTAGCTGACCTTGTGGAGACTCGACTTTTACATGAATAGTTAAAAATTATATATTCGTAATTTTAAGACTTATAATTAACTTGAAGTACTGGTTTAGTAGTTTTCTTGAAAAAATGTGTATTTTTTTTCAAGAATACACACACATTTTATTTGACTTATTTACCATTTTCGCCAAACTCTGAAATGTACTTTGTATTTTTGTTAAGTAATCATTTCTGAATGAATGAACGAATGAATTTCGCTTTAAAGGTCCTAGTAGGCCTAAGCCTCTAGACAATTGCGATAGTAACAGAAGGAAATAATAAACTTAAATATATTATAGTAAATATAAAAAAACAAGCGTTAAATTCCTGTACACGGAGTAATCTCCAAGTTAAGTTGGTATTTTGTTATCAGTTTTAAATGCTATACATTTTATTACTTTGCACATTATTAAACAAATAACTTGATATCTAAAACACAAGTTATGCAAAAATGAAGCGGGCATTATGTATTTTATGTTGTCTGTTTATAAATACAAATGCGACACCTAATCATCCAGTGGTTGTAACTACGTGGAGCTTTATAAACTCTACTATTGGGGGTAAATATTTAATTTCAAATGTTGAAACAGAACATTTATTCCTTATTTATTTTTGCTAGGATTATAAAAAAAAAAACAATAAATTTGATGACAAATTTGTTATAATTTTTACTTCTTCCATAATGTTAGCACATTTTTTTTAGTTTAAATAAAATTTAATATTTTCAGCGTGGAAAGTCCTGAAAAATGGTGGTTCAGCTTTAAATGCAATAGAGATTGGAGCTAGCATATGCGAAAGTGAACAATGTGACGGAACTGTTGGGTATGGTGGAAGCCCCGGTGAGAATGGTGAAACTACACTTGATGCTTTACTAATGGATGGGTAGTTCCTATTTTATAAATATTTTTACTGACATTCTTATAGAAATATTTTGGAAATATCTTATTCCTGGACCAATTATTTATGTATATCTTTATATTTTGCATTTTATATTTACCCTGATGGTTAAAAATTATTATTCTTGCTTCTTGATGTACATTTAATGTTTTTTTTAAAAATCATAGAAAAACTATGAATGTGGGCGCTGTTGGTGCTATAAGAAGAATAAAGAATGCAATATCAGTTGCTAGACATGTTCTTGAGAATACAAAGCATTCTATTCTTGTTGGAGAACTTGCAACGGAGTTTGCAGTACAAATGGGCTTTAAAGAAGAATCATTGAATACACAAGATTCCAAACAACTGTGGATGAAATGGCATAATGAGAATCATTGTCAACCTAATTTTTGGGTGGTAAATATCAAAGGTATTATCAATATCAGTATTAAAACTATCTGGGTACTTTATTTTTCACTGTTTTATCTAATCTTAGGATGTCACTCCTGATCCAAGGAAATCTTGTGGCCCATATCAGCCGAAGTACAGATCTAAAACAAGTCTTAGTAAGATAAAAGGAGATAGATACAACCATGACACTATAGGTATGGTGGCAATTGATAGCAATGGAGATATTGCAGCAGGTACATCTACAAATGGAGCAAAATACAAGATACCTGGGTATGTGTAGTAACTTACCAATTTAAATTGACTATGACATAATTTAAACATAAGTTTTAAATTTTTCAGAAGAATAGGTGACTCTCCTATACCTGGTTCAGGTGCTTATGCTGATAATGATGTTGGTGGAGCCACAGCTACTGGAGATGGCGACGTAATGCTTCGATTTCTTCCTAGGTAAAAAAGCAGTTTAATTCCTCAAAAAGGATTTCTTTAATATCATATTTTCATCTCTGCCTGCTGAAGTAGATGTTAGGAACTAACTTAAATATTTTATCTTTTTCTAGCTTTTTAGCTGTCGAAGAAATGCGACGTGGAGCTAGTCCTACGGCAGCTGCTCAAATTGCTGTTAAAAGAATAGCAAAATATTATCCTGAGTATATGGGTGCTGTGGTCGCATTGAGCAAAGATGGTGAATATGGTGCAGCCTGCCATGGCCTTGCTGGCATGCCGTTTCCATTTGTTGTCCATGATAAGACCATGGAAAAATGTCACGTTGTTTTAGTGGAATGTACTTAATTTGTACAATAATTTGCGTAAAAAATGTATTTAATTAATGTAAATTACAACGATCGAACATTATAAAAGCATAGTCCAAAGTATAAAATAATAAATATTTCTATCTATATTATTTAGTTTTCTTTATCTGTCATTGCATTTTTAAAATTTATTCTTATAGAAACACAAGTAACCGTTGCCTTTATTTTAAAAGTCGGTTACAATTCTGAAAACAGTTGCAAGATAAATATATTATCCTACTCTGTGAATAAACACAATTCACTATTGACATTTGACATAGAAATACAAGTTGATACACAATGAATGAACGATATTTTTGTCTATTACTAGGTCGTGGAATGAATGAACGATTTGGTCAATATCTCGTTGAGAACCGCATTCTCTGCCATTTTTAATTTGACCGTCTCATCTTGCTCACGATTCTACGTAAGTACAATTTATTTTTGTATATTTTAAGTATTTATACACATTTAAACGTTTAATTATTGAAGCCGATTATATTTTCAAAGTGTTATGTATGATTTTTATTGAAATCAATTTCAATTTCTGAATTTACATTTGCTCTAACCTTATCACCACGTGGTTAGAATTATTATGATGAGACTTAAAAAATCAATTCATTCGTGGTATCTACCATAGTGTTTACACAGTGATGGCCTTAACGCGTCTGACTTTCATTAAATATTGCATGTAATCTTACTTTTCTGTCGTGATTTTTACAAAATGGCGTGTTTTCCAGAATGGCGGACGCAGCTCCAGCCGGTGGACGTGGCGGTTTCCGTGGTGGCTTTGGATCTCGTGGTGGCGATAGAGGACGCGGTGGCCTAAGGGGACGCGGCCGCGGTCGTGGTAGAGGCCGTGGACGTGGGAAGGAAGACCAAAAAGAATGGGTACCAGTAACCAAGCTTGGCCGTCTCGTACGCGAAGGAAAGATTGACAAACTGGAGAGCATCTACCTATTTTCTCTGCCCATTAAAGAGTTCGAGATTATTGACTTTTTCTTGGGTGCTTCGCTCAACGATGAAGTGCTAAAGATTATGCCCGTACAAAAGCAGACCCGTGCCGGTCAGCGTACACGTTTCAAGGCATTTGTAGCCATTGGAGACAACAATGGACACATTGGTCTTGGTGTTAAATGCAGCAAGGAAGTAGCTACTGCTATCAGGGGTGCTATCATTCTAGCAAAGTTGTCCGTTTTGCCAGTGCGCAGAGGTTACTGGGGTAACAAGATTGGAAAGCCTCACACTGTACCATGCAAGGTAAAACTTTTTTGTTATTTCAATTCTTTACTAGTCTTCAAACTACATATTTATATGATGAAACCTTTTATTCATTTCATTCGTGGTATCCACTTGAGGCTTGTCCGATGAAGCTTAAATGCGTCTGATAATTTTACGTTAAGTTAGCATATATTTATCTTAAAACTTTGGTACTAACAAGTTTATAAATTGCAGGTCACAGGAAAGTGTGGTTCAGTAACTGTAAGATTGATCCCTGCCCCTCGTGGTACTGGTATTGTCTCAGCTCCTGTTCCCAAGAAGCTTCTTCAGATGGCTGGTGTAGAGGACTGTTACACTTCTGCCAGAGGTTCAACTGGTACCCTTGGAAACTTTGCTAAGGCCACATATGCGGCTATTGCAAAGACCTATGCCTACTTGACTCCTGACTTATGGAGAGACATCCCATTGACAAAGTCGCCATACTCTGAGTTCAAAGTTTAAAAATGAGAAATAAACACTTTGACTAAATACTCCTTTTTATTATATAATCCATCATTCTCAGTTCTGTACTTAGTTATTTTTTGTAGCAAGTTACAAATGTATATATATTGTAGTGGCACTAAATTTTAATTTAATATTGTTATTTACAACTTCAGAGTACAAGCAACATTAATTTGCAATAAAACTCCTCAGACTTATTCATTGTAGCTGTTAGCATAGAAGTCCGCGTCTCGTCGTTTCTTGATAGTTTAGTTAATTTTAAAACACTACAATGCTTTTTTTGATAAATTTAAGAAAAGGTTTCTTGGACCATTTATGCAGCAGACGGAATGGAACCCATCAGACGAATAATTTTCCATGTCTTTACTACTATTTATTTTAACATAATAAGTTATAAAGCCTTCCTTGATAAATCGTCTTATTGAGGAAGACATATGATATTATATTAGTTCCTGAGAGCATGTTAATTAAAAATATCGTCCCAACATGTCACATCACGTCAGCTAAATAAAAATCCGCCTTAGTCTATGATATTCAATAGTCTATATCAAATTTATTTACTCGACGGTAAATAGTCAAATTGACAAAGAAAATATTAACCTAAAATATACGGATTATTGGTTGCTAATCGGTATATATTGTAATATTTAACTTAACTAAAAATTATTAACTTCAAACTCAAGACAACAATTTAAAGAATGACCGATTTACCAGATTTTTCCAGCCCCAAAGGCGCTGATTCTGAATTACAGGATTTCTTAGTAGTCGAAAAACAGAAGGCCCAGTTCCATGCCCAGGTATTTCTTCACGTTTAAATAATGAGTAGACTTAACTTATAACAATATTGATAGATTTTTATGAGAACAATATATTGGTATCTTAATGCAAGAATTTTTAATTATTCTTCCTTTAGATACACGAATTTAATGACTTCTGTTGGGACAAATGTGTGGACAAACCCGGAGCAAAGTTGGACTCAAGAACAGAAACTTGTATAACCAATTGTGTCGAGAGATTTATTGACGTCTCGTTACTTATTACAAACAGATTTGCCCAAATGCTAGAAAAGGGTGGTGGCATGCATTAAACATGAAGTGAATATTAGAATAGCATGAATGTCTGTGTTTAAATGATAGAATTTTAATGTTACATAACACATTAGTTAATAAGAATGATAAATAAAAGCTCTAGTTTATAAATTATTTATTTGTTATATTATAAACATGAGCAGTATCCTTGTTTTAGTTAGCTTAGTCAAAATTTCACTCTACTTTAAACCTCTTTAATCAAGTGATATATTGCAGTAAACTATAGTATAGTAGTAAACACAAATGGTCTTTTTTCAAAGTCAAGACACAGATGGAAGTAGTATTCTTTAATACAGTGATTTGTACTTTCTACTATACTCTTTAAAAGTTTTGAGATTAAACATCAATAAATTATCTTCCAACTTTTCCTAGTTTAGTGTCAGTGCGTGGATCAGCTGTGATCATTTGAACGGCAACCAGTGCTTCATTAATTTTTGTTTGTAATTCCCTTAAATCTTGAATAAAGAGTAGATTTAGAACATCCACTGGTTGATTGATATTAAAAGTGTCAGTTGTTTGGGGGCTTGGATGAGGTGACGTCTTGAGTATCTTTGCAACTGCAGCTAAACGAAATTTAGGATCTGGATGAGGCCCGACCCCAGTGAGAGTGCAGATTCTTTCAACGCCAGCTTTAAATGCAGGACTATCAACTGGAATAGTGAATAAAAGTATATCTTTAGGTATTAAACAATATTTACATCATTTCCTAAACTTAATAACATGAATACTTACAGTCTAAATTGTCTAAAGGATTAGATGATACAACATTGGGAGCTGCTTGTTTGGGCTGTTCTGCTTTCACATCTTTGTATTTAGTTACTGTGACAGAAAATTTTAAATTGTAATATTTTAAAAACTACACTTCATTTAAACTGGTTGACTGATACTAAAATAGATTTATTGTTATTAAAAAATATTCAGACTTTACCATTATCTGCATATTCTAATCTCACAGCATAAGAGAGCAACCAATTAAGTTGTTCATTCATAGTCCCATCATTAACAGGACTGACTAGATCTTTCTGATATGTATTATATGCTTCCTTCCAGGTATCGCTGTCTATGTTTCGTAGACCTTCCCTCTCTTCAATTTTGTAATGTCTAATCTTCTGGTCTTCCAGCCAGAGCACAACACTTCTGTATTCTTTTTCATCTGTAAATGTTAGGTGGTTTCATTTGGAATTTTAGAAACCAAATGCTCATCTATGTGCCATTTATTCAGTAATTAATGAAAACAGAAAAATATCAAAAGCACTCTTATGATATTGAAAGAATAAGAAAATAACAGCTGTTGTAAATTATTTGGTTATAGGAGTTAGGTTTCAATATTAATTATAATTATATTTAATTAACAGAAATTATTAGATTTTATAACATTAAACCCAGTTCTTTACCTTCGCAATTAAAGCCTTCAGGATTTGGATGTCCTAATGCGGTTAATTTTAACTTAAACATATTACTCATGATACCAAATAAGACTTATAGTCAATATGATAAGGATTCAGGCACTACTGTGTTTACCAATTCAAAATTTTAGTTTTGCACTGTATACTTTATAATAAAACAGTTTTTTTGCACATTAAACCGGCTCTCAAATCGATACACAATATTTAATAATTTATAATATTAATAATAAGAAAGTAAATGTGTCACAGATAGTCACTTATAAGTCTGTGGAGTAATTTAATTTGTATATATAGAGCATCTGTCAAGGTGTCCTCGCTTGGTAATCGTACCAACCTGATACATTCTATGACTATAGTCATGACACTGACATATATCCAATTGTTACTTGAGTTCCTATGAATTTGTATACTAAATATTAATATTTATTAAATACCTTGTGATTTTTCTAGAAATCTTTCACAAGCTTAAACTTTTAAAAGAATTAATTTACGACAGTGAGTTAACTTATTTATATCGTATTGCAAGAGCCCTAAAACCATGGCACACTACAAAGGCGCAGCTTCAGAAGCTGGAAGAGCAATGCATTTAATGAAAAAGCGAGAAAAAGCTCAACAAGAAATAGAGCTTCGGAAAAAGAAAATCGAAGAGGACCTCAAAATAGATAACATTGAGAATAAATTCGCTACACACTATGATGCAGTTGAGCAGCAGTTGAAAAGTTCCACGATTGGTCTGGTGACTCTTGACGAAATGAAAGCAAAACAAGAACATATCGTTCGAGAGAGGGAGAAAAAACTGGCTCAAAAGAAGGCAGAAAAAGAAAAAGAAAGACAAAAAGAAATAGAAGCTAAGCAGGCCCAAAAGAATAAACAGAAGAGACAAGTAAGTGTAATAATATAATAAAAGCCTGAGGACAAAATAATAGCGTTGAGTATTCATAAATTATACCCGATCCTACAAACTATAAATATGTTCACATCGCTAAATACAATATAATTTCAGATTCAAGCACTATCATTTGATCTTAATGAAGATGAAGAAGGAGATGCCGAAGAAGAAAAACCAGAAGTTGATTGGAGGGAGAAAATAGAAATGGTAAGATAATCTAGTTTTAGTTTAATATTTAGCATAATAAAATAAGTTAAGTTATTTCTTGTTCTTCTAAGCTTGTATGTCTACAATAAATATTTAATATTTGGTTAAAGGGGTGTTACAACTTCTGCATGAACTCAAGAATACATTGATTTGATTAATTATTGTTATGTCAAAATTTATAGATATATGTATTTCATATACATATCTATAAATTTTTAAGGAGTTTGTAGTTCTGGTAACAACGACCAAACCAAACAGCCAGTAGCAATATTTTTAATGAATCTGTTAATATTAAGAAAAATATGTTATAGCTTTTTAAATAAAATTGTACCTCCAGTACATAATATGTTTGATATTCAATACTTTTTTTCTGCAACAGCCCACAAAGAAAATTCGTAAAAATCCAGATGTGGATACCTCATTTTTGCCAGACAGAGAAAGAGAAGAGGCAGATCTCAAACTAAGAGAAGAACTGCGGTTAGAATGGGTAATGACACAAGCCAGTCTAAAAGATGAACCTATTACTGTCACGTTTAGTTACTGGGATGGTTCTGGGCATAGACGTAATGTAATATTGAAGAAAGGTATGTCAAAACAAATTTGATTTTCTAAACCTTGTATTGTTGTATAATATATGTATTAAGTCACATTTTAAAAAATTCCCTTAATATTTAATAAAAAGTGATTAATGAAAGTTTTATATACATTTTTGACATGAAGCTCTGCAAAGGATGGACTCTACAAAAGACGGCAGTGTATATTACTTTATCATTTATGAATATACAAGAAACATGTTTAGACCAACTTCTATAGTAACATGTATAATTCTTCGCTACAACAAATTAGTTGTCTTTATAAATTTATCATCACTAAGCGCTTTTGAATATGCTTTGTTACAGGAAATTCTATTTATCAGTTCTTACAGAGGTGTCTGGATACTCTTCGGCCAGAGTTTAGCGAATTAAAGACAGTATCTGCTGACCAACTAATGTACGTGAAGGAAGATTTAATACTGCCACATCATTATACATTCTATGATTTCATTGTCACAAAGGTACATCTTTGTTTTAGATGCTGAAAAAATAGCTATGTGCTAAATATATGTTTTGTCTACGCTATGTTTGCTATGCAACTCAGGCTTCACCATTTTAATTTATAAATATTTTTTCTAAATCTTTGTCTTAAATTCTTGATTTTATATTTCAGGCAAGGGGTAAGAGCGGGCCCTTATTCCAATTTGATGCATCAGATGACATTAGATTGATGAATGATGCCACCCAAGAAAAACAAGACTCACACGCAGGAAAAGTGTTATTAAGGTTTGTATAACTTAGGTATATTCACAAGTCATACTTATTCATTATTAATAATAAATGGAAATAAACATGTAATTTCAGGTCCTGGTATGAAAGAAACAAACATATATTTCCTGCATCACGATGGGAACCATATGACCCAACAAAGACTTATTCCAAATACACAATCAAAGGAAAGTGAGAAATATTCCTAAAATAAAAAACTCAACATGTTGTATAGTATATCATTATATTTAAGGACATGAATTTCTGCCTAATTAAGTCAATAATAATAAGTTTATAAATAGAACTTTATTTAGTAAATAGTAGCTAACCAATGTAATTGTTTTATTTGTGCTGTTCGTCGACTTTCGTTGAAGTTATTTACACTTACAAAACTATTACATCATTTATCGATAAACTCATTTGGAATTATGTGGAACATTCTATGTAATTCTCCAATATTTGTAACCTCTTTTCTTCCAATTTACGTAGAAACTTCTCTTGACTGATATTGTTTTGTTTTTCTGGTAGTTGAGGGGGAGCATATCTTTGAAAATGAATTATTGCAACCAAAAGATTCCACACTGTAAACTCTGGCCATAGCGCATCAGAGAAATATAAGACTGTGTTAGACGTCTGAAATTATAAAACGGTAACATAAACAACACAACAATAATATTTATCTAACCCACTTTTGTTTTGTTTTTTTGTTCATTAAGGTCGTGACTGTTTGTTAAAAGTTTTATTCAGGTCAGACAAAAATGTCTGATTTAATAATATTTTAAAAATGAGACATACCTGCCAAAGCATAAAATCAGACAATCTTACTTCCCCGGATGTTCTTATCAACAGCTCTGGATGTCCTAGATCTAGTGTTTGTGATATTAAGTCTTCATCAATATCCTCTGTTCTTAATTTATTATCATTTACTCCATCAATTATATGTGAAGCAGCTCGACTTATCTCATCGCGGCCTAAAATATACAATTATATGTATTATAAGGAATGTAAACAAAACTTTTTATAATAGTTAGAAATTAAGGCATAATTTACCTGTGTAGGCATAGGCAATGTTAAGTCTTAGCTTATTGTTATGCCGTGTTGCTAACATAGCCTTAGAGACCATCTTTCGTAAATCAGGTGGCAATAAGGACAACCTACCAGCTATGTGTATCCGAACTCCCCAATCATTTATTTGATCCCTGAATTAACAGTGATAATGCACAAACATTGTAACAACTTCTAAATATTAAGTGAAATTAATAAAATTTGAATTATTTACCATAGATACTTACATAGCATCTAATAATCTCTTGAATTTGTCTCTTGCTAAGTCCATCAACGCACTGACCTCGTCATCACTCCTTTTAAAGTTTTCTATACTAAATGCATAGACTGTTACTTCAGGAATACCCAAATCAAGGCACCACTGTAACAACAAAATTAATATATTTTCTAATTCAATAAATTACAAAATAAGCAAGTTATAAATAAATTTTTTATATTAACCTTCAATGTTTCAGAAAGCTTATCAAATCCCCTGGAATGCCCATCACTAGTCTTAACACTGACTTTTTTAGCATAACGCCGATTCCCATCCATGATAAATGCTATGTGTTGCGGTATCCGGCCTGTTTTAACAACTTTTATACAGAAGAGTTGAAAAAAAGACACACAATTTTCATTCACCCAATCAGACATGTTTGCTGTACCGTTATTTTACTCTTTTGATAACCGAGTAATATGATTTAACGAAAAATTAATATTTATTTTAATTCCATAACACCTGAATAATCGTGGATAACGTAAACAGCTGATTACCATCTTTATTACATGACGTTTAACACTTGCTGGCAGTCGCAAACGTAATTGCCAGTAGGCAAAATTACCGACATATTCGACTGGATATTTGTTTTTGTTTTCGTGAATGGTGCTAACGATTAACTGATAGTAGATTCTTTTACTGTCGGTAAGTATTTTCCTTTTTCTAATTGTCCCTTATTGATAAAATAGTGACCATATAGAATTTTTAAAACATGACATAGATTACTGACAGCTGATAGCAAAGTGATATATGGCAATAACATAAAAAAGTTTTCTTAAGTGATAAGTCAACGTGAGGTCAACTGTCTAGTGTCTGTAATCAACTGTAATTTTTAAAAGGGATGACTGTTGTCCAACGATAACTATTAATTCATACCGGCAAAACGCTTTATTATAAAGACATTGTTTCTTTAAATGTATAGATTTCTCAGTTTTAACTAGAGAACTTATCGGTCTCACTAGTACGAGCAAGATTTCGTAACATCAACAATGGAAAGTACGATAATATTTCCATCACCAAATTGGTTTAAATCTTCCGTTTTAGCTGTAAGTTCGGATGGCTGGCTTGTATATGGTGGTCCAACGACGAGTTTGTGTATATTGAGACCTCTTAAGAATGTTTCCAATAGTGAACAATGTTATCAAACGGCCCACCTTAGCAGAGCACATGGTGAGAAGTAAGTAAGCCTTAATTTAGAATACACTTGTGATTTATTTTGTATAATTCAATTGAAACACTTTAATTGGTAGTTTGGAATTTTACTGTCTAATAATTTATTGATATGTTACAGGATTATATGTGTTACAATATCACCAGAATGGCCTGAAAAAAGATCTATTGTTACTGGCAGCCCTGATGGTGTAGTAAAGCAGTGGTCTCTTACAGAAGTAAATAAATCAATAAGAATAAAATTTGACCAAAGCCATGAAATACATAAGAATGAAAATGAGGTAAGCTTCTTTAAAAAAAGTGTAGATTTTATAAAAATACACTGCTGTTTCTGTCTTTAGATTCCATCAACCAACTTTGTGTCTCTAGTCATTCTTGTTTTAAGAACTTATATTATATTTTTACAGGAAGTTGTTGGAGTGGGCTACTCTAATGAAAATATAGTAATCACGGTTGGCAGTTTTGGTAATATGACATTATGGGACACAACATCAAATGTTGTTAAAATGTTTGACAAGTTTCTTAAAAATTTTAAACCAACATGTTTGGCTTGTTCCCCCCATCTCCTTTTAAATGTAGCAGTTGGTACAAAACAAGGCATCATTTTTGTTCTGGATCTCAATGGTAAGTTATTACTTAAATTTTGTAATAACATCACAACCTTATAAACATATTTAATATTGTTAAGCACCATTGTCCATAATATGGTGGCCAAAACTGGTTTCGTTTAAAAAACTCTGTATCATTATATTTATGTACCTACTCACAACGTGAAAAAAATAAAACAAAACTTTACTATAAAAGTTAAAAAATACTTAACTGAAATAGAAGTGGAATGTTTTTTTTATATTTATAATTTAATAAATGTTAACATCCTGCAGGTAAAGGCAAAATTTTGTACAAAGTAAGGGGACAGAATGAAGAAACAATAAATGTATCTTGGTGTCCACAATATGAAGTTCATGTTAAGAAGACTTTAGATGTTACAGAAGTAAAATCCAATTTAGTAGATAGGTTAGCTAAAATTAGACTAGAAGGCACAGATGAAAAATTAAACAAATCTGGACTCGCAAAAGACCTACCTGATGATAGCTTCAATGATTCTATAGTACAAGAAGATGACATGTTTGATATATACAAAGATCACGAAGAAGATGAATTTGGGCATAAGAAATATAAACCTGAGATAATAAGAGTTAGGTGTCATGAAGAAAAGAAAGAAGATAGTGATTTTTTAGCTGACTGCTTAAAATTAAAGAAAGATTTATTAGACCGAAAAAATGCACCAGAGGAGTCAATTGAAAGTCTAGTGAATGCACTTGATAATGCCCATGTGGATGATTCAAATTCTGAGGCAAAATCTGAAGAAGGTAGCGATACAGCTGAAGTAAATAAAGAAAACTCTGCTGATACAGTTGCAGTAGAAGAAAGGGGGTGCCATACTCATAAGCATCTTTTAGCATCTATTGGAAAACTGGGGTAGGTTAGAACAGATAGACAGTTAAATGCAAAAAAAATAATGTTTTTGGTAATTAAAAAAACGTAAAAACTTTTTTTAAATTATTAAAACATTGGAAAGTTAAATATAAAAAGGCTTTGTTATAATTATAAATGAAAACATAGTTGCTATTTTAGTAGTTCTTTTAAAAATGTTAATCTTACAAGTTAACTTTTGTATTCCAGGAGTGTTAGAATTTGGTCAAAAACTGGCAAATTGGTGGGTAGTTGTGCTGTTACTACCAGCAATTCTAAAAATTTCAAAACCAAAATCCCAGGTTGGGCTACACTGAATTGGTACCGCCCCAATATGCTGCTTATAGCTGATGGGAAAAGCCAACTCCTAACTTGCAATCCCCTTAAAGTTGACAGGTAAGCCCATACATTTTTTTACACTAATTAAGGCTACACCAATTTTTATGGTATCATAATTGTGACAGTTGGTAGTAAATTATTAACATTTTAAATTACTTTAGAATAAAAATAAAAGACATTTGTATTTATCTAAATTATTATTTCGTGTGTGTCATTAATAAATATGTATTTATATTTGCAGTAAAAATAAATTGCATTGGACAGTTGAACACGCGTTGCACAAGAGAGGTCTTCATTGCATAGCGACAAATGCACCCAGGCTTATAAAAGTTACGGATAGTAACAGAAAAACAGATGGTGCAAAATCAAAGTGCGAAAATATAATTGAAGATTTAGATGAGAATTTTAAAGATTGTGTCATTTGGACAACTGCACAAGACAGAAGCATAGTCTGTTATTCAGTTGAGAAACATGAGTGTATAGCAATGTATAATTCTTGTGGTGGATATGTATATTGTATTGATCCTTGTCCATATGATGCAAGACAGTAAGTTATAGACCAGGTTTTTAATTATATAATAATAACACTCATGGGCTTCATGTCGGTCCAATGTTATTAAATTAAATATATTTTGACATGGAACAGTCTGGACACAAAGTACAATATATCTAAATTCTGTTCAGGTCATGATAAAGAGGTTTTAGACTAGGTTTAGGGCAATTTCTCCTCCCACCAAGATTTATATATAAATGACCAAATATACCATAGCTCTTGGTCTCAGACAACTATGGCTGCACTAGAAGACACAACCGGTTCGATGTCTCCAGAAGTCGCACCTCGCTTAACACTCTCCTCAAGTAGAGACCCAAATGTGACCTCTTCGCAAATGACTGCAACAAAATGAAAATGTCCACAATAGTAAATGAATGTTCTGCCTCTGAAATTAAAGTCTCATTTGTATATAACCTATTTTGAAGTATAATTCTTTGTACTATGCAATTAATTTAACTGCTCTAGGCTGTTTTGTCTTTTAGTAAATAATTAAAACAATATTTTTTTCAGGTATGCTCTATCTATGGGCGATGGAGCAGTGCGCGTTTGGGAAACCGATACTATCGAAGACGACAACACCAAACTGTCAAATGGAAAAGTGCGAATGTACTGGCAGAATGTTCAGGGCAAAGTACTGACCATCGCCTGGCATCCCACAAGGGAAAATATCCTCGCGTTTGCTACAGCTGAATCGAGAGTAAGAAACAGTTTAAACAGATTTTATTTGACATTAGTCCATGTCCTAGCTATTTATTGGTTATATATTTCGCCTTATTAATAAAAGTATTTGATTTAAATAGTTTATTTGTATATATTTACTGTGTGTGAAATCCCGTTTCCCACTCGTGGGACATGGGGTGGACACATTTCTGAGTGCAGGCAATTTGTGGATCAGACTTCTGTGCCCTGCCTGACTGAAACAATTGTTTGTTTCCCTGGGATTCGAACCCAGGACCTCTCGCGCTTAACGCAATGCTATACGTTTGACCGTTTGGCTACAGAGGCGGTCATGTATTTACTGTAACACATAACAATTGTTTTATATTTTAGATTGGTCTAATAGATACAGGTGGTAAATCCGATAAGGCAGCTCGCTTACTGCATGTGGCACTTCGAGGTGGGATTTACTCACTATGCTGGGGCAAAGATGACAATCTATATGCATGTGGTGGAGGGGAGTTAGTACAGTATGCAACAAGAAGTACAGAAGGTAATACCAGAATTTTGTTAAGCAAAGTATATCTTAAATCATATATGACAGATAACGATTAAGCCGTGAAGTTTAATCGCGTTTCGGTTTCAGACTGGATATCCAAATATCCAAAGCCAAAATAGGTCGATAGCGCATCTTGTGTAGATGTTATATGTCTGTCCTCAATCATTAAAAAAAAGCTAGGCTGAAGCTAATATTGTTGTCATGCCTTTATTTCAGAAACCACTTCGATAAACGTGGAGGTGGAAGGTATTAAGTGGAATCTGAGCTTTGTGAGTTTTGACGTGCGTGGTATTTTGGTGGGCAGTTTGGTTGGTGGTATTGCTATATTAGATCCTGATACCCACCAGCTGGTTGTTGCAACTTTTGTCTTCAGGTAAGAAAATGTTATGAGCCTCGCCTTTACAAACGCAGGGAGCAACTCATTTACTCAAATCATTTAATCCACACACACACACACACAAATACAAAGAATAACGCCCAAAAGTACAATAACATAAATAATAATAGATGTATGTAAAAATGCGCCGATTTGCAGTGATGCTGCAGGCTTGACATTTGAAGTAGACTAGCACATACACCAAAACATAACACATTTTTTTAACTTAAACAATTAACAGAACATAAAATAGAAAAAAAAAGAAACTCACCACTTTTTTTTTACCGCACATGATTAAGATAATCTCGTTTTCTAGTAAGATAATCCACAACATGCAGTGGCACCCTCAGCAGACGTCCTCCTCGAGCGAGGATTCACCGTATCAGAACCTCATTGCGGTCAGCTCTCTTGATAAACAACATACTGTGGCGATACTCGAATATAAAGAGAATATTGAAGGTGAGAAATATAACTATGATGTATGGCTAAGAATCAAAGGTAAAATCTTCGCAGACGAGGTTCGAACTCCACTGGGTCCATTAATTTATGAATTTTAAATTTATAATTTTTCCGAACCATGTTGGGCTACGTCTGGAAATCTGGATATTAAATTGTAGGTGGGAATATCGAAATCCCTCCGTGTCACGAACCACTTTCCACGGATGAAAAAGCCGTGAAGAATCGTCGCTTTTCGGTATCAGACTGTGGATTTCCGAATATCCAAAGCCAAAAAAAGTCGACACCGCATCTTGTCTTGGCTGGGGTATTTACGTGAACCCTTTCGTCTGTCCGTTCTTTATCATTAAAAAATATATATATAAATTTTAAATTAATTTAAAATTTATTAGTTAACTCGGAAAACAGTAATTCACAATGTAAACCTCTTTTTTAATTTCAACTGTATACATAAGTCAACAGTATTACTGTACTAATGTTGGAAAAATATAACATTACAACTTGTTCACAACAATTTTTGATCAACTAGTAAAATAAATCTAAAAAATTGCTTAATAAAACAATTGTGTCCCGTCAAGGAGGCCCTAAGCTCCAGTTATCGAAAATGCTGTCAGGACACAAAGGTCCCGTTCTGAATGTCGTTTGGAATCCTCACTTGGAACAGTATCTATTAAGTTCCGCGCAGGATGCTACAGTTCGCGTAAGTTTAAAATTCCGTAGGGGTCATGAACCACCAACCACAGGTAGAATAGCCGTGAAGTGGAATCGCTTTTAGTCTGTAAATTTCCGAATCTTTCTGCAAAATAGGTCAACAATTGTGCTTGGGGAGTTTCTCTTTTAAAAAAAAGTCCTAACGAATACCTTTTCCATTTAATAAACTAAACTAAACTACTATTACTATTTTTTATTCAACAGTGATTGTAAACAATATTCTTTTTAAAACACTGTATTTGTAATAATTCGACTTATTTATCATGTTTTCAGTGATTCAAAACACAACAAACAAGAAGTTTTCTTATAAAAAGTTTATTCGTTGTTGTCGCGACGTATTAACCCAATAATAAATAAAAATAACCCTTCTTCCATTTTGGTCAGGTGTGGGACGTAGTGGCAGGTGTGTGCACCCATATATTCGGCGGCCACTCTTATTCTTCAATCGGGGTGGCGTGGAGCTCGTTTCCTGAACTATCAACTACTGTTCTGTCTGGGGGAGCCGACTACAATGTTAGACTTTGGGATTGTAAAGATTTCCCAGCTGATACATTTGAAGGTAGAGTATATACTCTGACTCTACGACTCTGACCTATCGATAGGTGGTACTTCACCATCAGTTAGTATAAACGGATATTATAAATAATAATTCAATAAATAAATAAAAACAGGTAGTGTCCTAGTACCACTGTTTGTGAGGGTTTCTACAACATTTACTTATTGCTTTCAGAAATCAAACACGATTACACAATAAAGGAGAAGAAGGAGAAGAAAAAGAAGAAAGCAAATAAGACAGAAGAAGAAGAGACTAGTCAAGAAGTGGACAATACAGCCACAATACTAACCCAAGATAATATAGTTAAAGGTCAAAAAAAGTTCCTTCTAACTACAATAGGAAGACAGATGTACCCCCTTAATGCTGTCAAGCTAAGCAAATTGGCGAAACAAATGCTCCGAAGCGACATCTTGAATACGGACAAAGAGGATTTGGGTTGTCGAGATGATTTTATCAAAATATTTGGTAACACAAATGATATTAACGCTGTATTGGATATGGAAAGTAAGCGATTGTCATAATTCTTGCATGCTTTTGTTAATGGCTTAGGAGAAATAGAACTTTGAACTTAGTGACTAAATTGTTCAAGGCATTTTGCAAACTCAGGTTTTTGACGTGTTCGGTCGTTGTTATGGTAAAGTAAACCATGCCTCAATTGCCATGATCAAATATCTCGAAAGCCAATAAGCTTGGTGATTGAGTTTTTTAACAAAAAAAAATAGTAAAAGTACTTCAGCAGCTTATTAAATTAATCTTAAAAGATAGACATATAGCGTCGTGGACTTTTTTTAGATCATATAAAGAGGAATCATTCTTTCATACATATTTTTTGGGTATCTTGAACCGTTTTTGCAGTGTACGCCTGAATGAATAATTTCCCCATTACTTTCACATTTCTTGATGTATCTTCGCTTGTATGAGTCACAATTCGAAGTTTAGCCTATCTCGATAAATGCTTCTAAGCAACACAAAAATAATTTCTCAATTCGAACCCGTAGTTCTTGAGATTAGCGCGTTCAAACAAACAAACTCTTCTGCTTTATATATTAGTATAGATAGATATTTGGTTACTTTAATCGCTTTCTTGGGAGCAGTATTTAAGTAATATTTCGGTTTTAGTGGAAAATCATTTGGCAGAGGAGAGACTTAGCTCGTGGATAATATTATCAGTTATAAGAGGAGACATGGCAGGAATGGTTGAATTCGCTACCAAGCGCGACCTTTTGTGCCCGTTCTTAGTTAGTTTGGCACCGTGCGTCTCGTTCAAGTTAGTATCATTTCTCTAGAGATCTAGAGATTATAATTACATAATTTAAGCGGTGGCTACAAAAAACCACACGTCCCGTTGCAAAACCATGACGGCTATGTCAAACTTAAATTTAAAAAGAAATTAAGAAGTACAATAACAATTTTGAAAAACATAAACATTAATTCAGTTAAAAGGCACTTCTTGGTATGAAAAGTATTGTTTTATTAAAATATTTCATAATATCTTTTATATGGGTTACATATTTCAATTTAAACTTTAATTTTAGATATTGGAAGGACACAATGCAACTTTACTTAGCTCAGATAGATAGAAAGGTTGCCAAGGGGGAAGCAGACAAAATAACAGGTAAAAAATATAACCACTATATAGTTTTTAAAATTTATCTGTGCTGATTAAATAACTGAAACGTCTTACCGTTCGTATTAAGTTTATTTTTGATTACATTAAACTCAGTTTGATGACTTCTTCAATCGATCCACACTTACTTTAAACGCAAACTAATTTCGACCTTTCCTTCTCATTTGAGGCTCTTATTGTATACCTAATACATTTCTAGGTGGATTGGATTTCGGTGGAGTAATATACAGAAAGGTGTGTTTGCTCTTGAGTGTTCATGATGTGAAGGGAGCTGTTAACGTGCTAACTGAAGCTAGACTGTTCCAGGCGGCTTATGTACTTTCCAGAACTAGGTAAGGGGGACATGTAACTTTCTTAATTATTAGATTAATTATAAAAATATTTATTTATCAAAGCTTTGATTCCTTTCCTAAATCTAATGAGTGTTAATAACAATTTGTCTTAATTCATAATATATTGGTATGTGTTGGTCACTACAATTGAAAAATTAAAATTAAATACAATTAAGAAGTATCTTAGATCAGTTACACTATAATTATATTTAAGGTATGTTAAAAGTAAATTATAAATATGTATTAAGTTACGTCAATTTAAATAAAACAAATTACATCAATGTTTTATACTTATGCTGGAAAGCATCCGAAATATTGGGTGAAGCTAAAAATTAGTACTTATATATTTTATTTTTATTCATTTACATATTTTAATATTTATTATCGTTTTATTTAAAACTGTAACTAATTTTAGGTTTTGGCCAAACATTAGACTTAAGTAGGCGTTTAAACAGTTATTTTTTATTTTAGACACATGGACAGTATAGCCGAAGAGACGCTAAAGAAATGGGCCGTTGACAGCTACGAGAACGGAATGTATCCCTTGGCTGCCTTTTGGTGAACATTGTTTTATTTTTTTCTTTATATCTCTTTACATTTTCCAAATAACATATACAATATAGTACTATTATCTGATAATTATGACAATCAATAAGTTATCAAGGGGCAGTGCGATGGTGGGGTTCGAGTCCTGGCATGTTGTATCGAAGTTTTCTGTAATCTCAAAGAAATCTATGTAAAAATATTTTGAAATGGCTAAGCAACTAGGAATTTCATGAATATTTTGTTAAAAATGTATTCTCTTATAGCTATATCGCCCTATGTGACCCAAATCAAGCAGCCATTGTGCTATCGAAGATAAATTCAGAAGAATATCTATCTCTGGCTGCCCATTTAGCCAAAATAGCTGGCCAGTCAACGTTCGCAGAGCACATAGATGATAAGCTTCAACAGATACACAATGGTGAAAACGGCAAAACTGAGAATCTCAAACCGTTGCCCACGAGAGCGGAGTTAGTTATTGAGAAAGATGCCAAAGAAAATTAACTAATTTAGATATTAAATAATTGAGATTAACAGAGAAAATTGTCACGCTAATGTTGTGTTTATGTAAATGTTACCAAAACATACGGACATTAATTGTTATATACTCCAACTGAAACTTAGAACATTCTATATGTTTCCTAAACTGTGTATTTTTATTATAAATTCTGTCTCCCGAGATGGCAAAATGTTGTGTGATATTTAAAAGCATGTGATATTGTTATCTTTCAATTGATTCTGTGAAAGGTGTAAATAAAAAAGTAATAATCAATCATTCATTTATTTATTAAAACAGGCACCATCCAGTTAATGATTATAGTAATATATTTTTAAGATTATAATTATTTATATTTGGTAATCATTTGCGCGTCATATTTAGTTACAATTAAGTACGTTAATACTGAATAAAATCAAAAATAATTAAATTGCTAAATGGCACCGATAGTCAAAATACAATCAACATTAATATCACATTCTAAATGCGTTAGGAATGATCATCGTGCTTATTCAGTCTTAATATTGCCATAATTAAAATAAAATTTATCATTACTCGCTGAAATCAACTATCGAAACGATTTCGATTTGGGCCGTTCAAATATAACGTAGGCACAACGGTTAGTCCTAGGTTTATGATAATGGGAGAAAATTACGTTTTTGAGGGGTCGGGTCGCAAAAAAAGGGGGGCGGGGAAAGCCTCGTTTCCTATACCCCCTTCGGTTTTAAAATTGGTCATATTTTTGCCACATATGGCACGCAACCAATTAGAAATAAAATAAACCTAGTTATTATTGTTGCATCATCAATTCTAAAATTTAAATTGCTATTCATTAATAAATAATTAAAATATATGATCTAACCTTACCCCTACTTCCTCTTTACTTGCTTCGAGAAAGTTTGCCTAACACTTGAACGGCCCGAGAATAAAAAATCAATCGACACAAAAATCTACATTAAAACTCAAAAGTCCAGCTTCTAAGAGAAATTGAAAACATTAAAAGGAGTGGAACAAAAAATAAAAAAACGCCCTCCGCTTATGCTTGTTCCACGATCACTCCTAAGCGCTTTCATTGAGCGTTTCCTTGATCAGGTGTTAGTATCATCAGCGGGGTCTTCATTCTCCCTATTGGTGCTAAGAGATTTGCTTTTTTTGTATATTTTCATTAATTTCGAATTAATGCTCTTTAACTTTTGATTCTCTCTTAAGACGTCGGTGATTTGTTGATTCTGTAACGACATATGGAGGATTAAGGATATTTTTTCATTAGATGTATTAACAACTATTTAGTCTAGTTTACCCAGACAAGGACATCTAGAACATCATTCTATTTTAAATTGCACTTAACTCATATGACAAAAGCAAATATGGATATATTTTAATGGATTTCCAAAAAAAAAGCTAAAAAAGGTGACAGCATATCTTGTTAGATCTGAGTAGAAGTAAACTCTAAGCTTGTCTGTCCATTTATATCATATATGTAAATATACAAAATCAGGTACATTTTTATAATTTTAGTATAGATAAGTACCTGGACAATAGCACTACCCGTTGACACGTAGAGAGGGGTAGCAGCCGATATCGCAACAAGTTGCTGCTCAAGAGCAGCCTTTTGCTGCGACGACCGTTCCACTGCCTGAAAATAAGACGATTAGGCATGCTAGGAAATTCCGAAGTGAACCAATAAAAAAAAATGGTAAAGGTAAGTATTGTAGTTTACGTGAGTAGTACGCATTTGCAAGAAAAGTTTTACGGTCCCCCCATGACCACGGCTGCTGCAAAACATCAAGTTAACTAATACATTTTGCGTTTTAAACCGTTAAATCTTTTATTTAAATAGGTAGAGGTTTAAACGGTGATGCAAAGTAAAGTACATTTAAAAATAACATTTTAACCCAGCAGAGCTTGTAGTAAAAATAAAGTTTTCAAACTAACCAGTCTAAGACGTCTCAACTCCTCTGCGTGTATTTCTGCCGTTCTCTTGCAGCATTCACCTTCCTCCAAAGCAGTGTTGCTTAGATCTGCGAAATATAGTAGGATCATCATTATGGCAGGTCGAATTATAGTTTTATCAACAAGTAGGTATTTTACACCTACCTTTACTTAAAAGGTATGTGTGAGATAAAAAACTAATACAAAGATAATTCTACCATAGGAAATTTGGAAAACTCACTGACAGTAATAATACTTTCAAACGCGTTATTTGAAATAAATGTGAGGGAAACGTTAAAAACTTATTTTTCTTCAATTATTGCAATGCATAGAATATTGAAACTCAACATGTCCGTTTGAAGGTTGAAATTATTGCCCGAGATCTGAGCGCATGAAAGGGATTAAAGAAATTCGATCCTGTAGTATGTGACACGATAGCTCAATTGGTTTAAGCTGCAGCACGGGAACGTTGTGGATGCCGGTTTAAGTCCCGCTCATGTTATCCATATATTATTTATAAAAAGTCGTATTTCTTAATGTACTAACCGTCGCCAGTATCTGTAGCAACATGGACAACGTCAGTTCTCGGCACTCTGTTTTGGTCGTGCAGACTTTGACGCTTTTTACGGACAGACAGACACACGCTGCTATCTTGATAGTCGAGTAGTTTTATCTGTAAAAAATATAATTAAAAAAAAAAGGTTTGTCCCCCCCCCCAAAAAACCCCCCCCTAGGAGGGGTTTGGGTAATATTTGTTCAAAGATATACTATGTAGGTAGGACTCGGTAGCTCAATTGGTAGAGCAACAGCACGGAACGCTGACGATGCCGGTTCAAGCCGTCCGGCTTTTTCTGATTTTTAAAATAAAATAAGTTTGGCAAAACGCCAAAGCTGCAGTGACCCAGTCGAAAATTTTTTTTAATAAAGTAAAATTAAAAACGGAAATATTTTTTTATAACTAAACCGTGCTGTTAAAATCTATCACTATTTTTTTTAAACATTTTTAAAACAATTTGTGAATACGAAGTGTGCAATTCGTGATCCAGTTCCTAATACCATCCATTAAATTGTTTAAGAGTTGCAGAGAAGTGGAGGGTGGCCCCTTCATGCTTAGGAAAAAATCTAAACTTATTACAGAAGTGTTGGACTCGGTGGGGATCAAACCTACGACCCAAAATCAATTAGCAATACATGACTACCCTTAGACAGACGAGACCATCGTAACGCCCCGGCGTTCGCTCACCTCCAACGATTTCTTCGCCTCCTTGAGCTTCCGACATTGCTCCTCTCGCTCCTTTAGATATTCCGCGCACGTTTCACACTCTTCGTCGAGCTCGCGATTTCTCTCTTTCAACTCGGCGACTTGTTTCCTACAATTGGCCAGTTCCGATTTTACGGTTTCCAGTTCCCTGAAGAAAAAGTACAAAGTGTGACGAATTGACAATTTTTTTTAAGTGGAGATATTTAAAACAATGTAGAGTGATATAGACTACTTTCTTCCTGTGTCTACGATCTCCCTACTTTGCTAAAATTGGGAGTGGTTTTCGACGTAAGAATTGATATGCAGTCTATTTGTGACAAAAAAGTAGATATATAGACCCCGCTGTGACTAATAGGAGGGAGGAAGCAGCGCAAAATGTGGACAAAACGGGAAAAATCATTTTTGTGAGTTTCCGATGTTACGCTGCGGAACACGTTCGAGATATCCAAAAGATATGTAGAAAGGAATGGTTTCTCTCTAGAAGATCTAAACAAAATGTCCCTGCCTTATGCTTCTATTTTTTAAGATTTACTTGCCAGAACGACGGGACGCGACCAACGTCATGGGTAACACAGCTAAATTATATAAAGATGAGGAGATTGTTTAAGAAAACAAATTTTGACGCCCAAAAGCAATTCTATGCGGACAAAGTCGCTGACATAGCTAGATAATAATATCTAGCTACGTCAGCGACTTAATTAAATAATATATGTATATATAAATATATTATTTAAGTTAAGGTTTAAATAATGTCTTACCTATCCCTGAACGAATTCGAATCCAACACCTTCTGCATTTTGGTCATAGTGACCTTCAGTTCCTGTTTCTGGAATCGGAGTTCCTCTACGATTTTCGTCAGTTTCTTGTTCTTATCCACTTCCGCATCATACGACATCCGGTCGACGACTATTGAGTGGAGATTCGCCCAATCTTAAACAAAAAAAATCTTTAGAATATTGTACAAATATTATACACATGCTTACTCCAAAAGTGAATAAACATATACATAGATTATTCCTTTTTTTCATTCAGATAGGGTCTAATGTTATATTAAAATCTTACATGCTACATATATTCAAGCTAACTTTAATAAAACTACTAAAGGTAAACTCCACCAAGTTATTGTAAGTAGATAACAAGTAAGTAATTCAACGAGTTATAGAAATACCTTGTTAATAAAAAAAGAAGATTCTGGATTCATATCCTATGGAAATAATAATATTATTATTAATATATAGATTGATTTAATTAGACAGGGCACAGAAGTCTGATCAACTACTTGCCTGCGAAACGGACATAGAAATGTGTTCGCCCGATGCCCCACAGGAGGAAACAGGTTTCACTATTTTATAACTATATACAAGGACGTGTAGTGTAAACAGACATACCTTCATCTGTGTTGACACCTGCTTCGACAGATTCGTTCTTCACGTGTTTGACTACTTGTAATTGTTGTTTCAACTCGTCGATCAAAGCCTGTAAAATCAAGTTGAAGTCAATATAGACAAAGAGAAGGCAAGATAAAAGAGAAAAAAATCTATGAAAACAAATTTTATTATTAAAGATGATCTAAACGTAAAATAATAAAGCACATCAGCACAGTAGTATATCCGTTTTATCTCCATGTAAATCGAATACTCAATATACGCAACGAAATAAGTTAGGTTGCAAGCATGGAATATTTTTCGAAAAGCGATACTCTTGCGCTGTGAATGCGACGCACGCGCAGAGTTCCTTCTTACCTCTAGGTTCTGCTTATCTGACCGGAGGTTGCGACACTGTTCGTCACGTTCGCGAAGATATTGCGCGCAGATCTCACACTCTTCGTCGACTTCGCGGTACTTGTCCCTCCACTCTTCCAACTCCTCCTTGCATTGTAAGAGCTGTTTTCGCAACTTGCTGACCTCACTGTAAGTAAATTTACAAACTTATAATGAGGACGATTGTAAGAATACAAACGATACGAATGTAGTCTTTCCATTTCCCAATGTACGAAGCCAAAATAGGCCGACAGCACAACTTTTTTTTATGTGTATGACTGAGATAAATCACCTTTCCTCGAGTGACCTCCATGTTTCTGTCCTTTCCGTTATAAAAAAATTTATGAAAATGCCAAGTTTGCTTACCCGGTGGTATCGCTGCTTGACGATTCATTATTACGGTCAGCGCTGTGTCGTCTTGATGTTTCTGAAATTTACGGTTACATTTTAGTAATATTTCAATTTAAAACATTCAATAAATTAAAAATCGATTATAGATTGAAAAAAAATTACGACACGGCAGGACTTGAACCGGCATCTGGAGCGTACGTGCTGTAAAATTATATAACAACAGTGCGGAAGAGACCAGCCCCCGACACAGGGACGCAATCCCAGTGTCGGGGGTACATCCTAAGACGAAATGCAAGAATATAAAAAAATGAAGAATTTATATTATGTAATGAAGATTGCTTTATCCTGTGTCATGATGCTGTGTCATCCGTGGCATCAACTTCACGCTATAAAAGGTTTTCTAATCTGTATCTAGTCCTCTATGGTTTGTTATCAAACCAATTTGTTGTGGTCTTTTGCCAAGTTACAAAAAATACACTAAGTTTTTTTTCTTACCGAGAGCGCTCACGCTTCGGTGCGCGTCGTGAATGCTTTGGCGCCTGCGCCGGATCGCCTGGACGCTGCTAGCACGTGATCCTTCTTCTTCACTCTATATAAACAATAAATAATTAAAAAGGTTTAGCTATTTTATTATACCTAGCATTTAAAGCTATGTTGGTGTTCGTTGGTCTAAGCGATGACGCTTTGGCAAAGTAGCTTTGGCAAATGGCCGAAATAGCCCTGTATTATTTCCTTATATGGTGATATAAATCTTGTAGCTTATTCTGGTTTTCTAATATCTAATTTGTCGTCTAAGTTTTCTATATGTAAGAAGGGTTGAACATTAGGTATTTTATGAGGTACTTCGGCGTTTATTCTATACAAACGCAAGGGCGATGAAGTTAGCAAATTAAAGAAAAATAAAGACAAGCATTACCTGATCTTGTCTCGAAGCTAAGCTGTCACGACTGAAAAAAAAAATAGTTTACATGTTAATCGACATTTAAATAAAACACTTGTAGTATTAGTTAACTTATTTTTAATTTAATTTAAATGTGTACTACTCGCGTAAATTACTGACAGTGGGACTGTGCAATCATCCTCTTAAAAATACAAATCACATAACTTACTCAATATAAAATCTGTCTATGAAGCTAAATCAAGTTATTAAAATGTTCTTCCGAGTCTAAACATATAAAACTCAAAGACTGAAATAAGTGACTGACTATCTTTTAATGCACCATCCAATCCGGGCTTTATTGTTGGCTTCAAGATAATGTTATGACGTAGGCATCCTCAAAGAAAATGTGATCAATTCTACCCCGAAGGGGATAAAATAAGGGATGAAAGTTTGTTATAACCTATAGGAGTGAAACCTCATTAAGTAGTGAAACGGTACCGGAGGTGGTTAAACCTTTAGTTACTTACCCTTTGGGAAGCTTAATAGGAGTGCTTCTATTGGAATTGTCGTCCACATCCATAAAATTGTCGTCGCATCTTCGGGCCTTGAACTCCGCTTCGATCTTCTTTGGATCTAAAATACCAAATGTTAATTAATTTAATATGGGGCAGAAAATTTTACTTTTTATAACTGAACTGAACCTCCTTAATAACAAAAGAGTATGATTATGCGTATATTATGGTTTTATTATAATCTTAAACTTAATTATGTAATTTCATCTTATAAACTTCGCCCTTCTCCTACTACACCGGGGACAGTCTGAAATCCAGCGCTGCTGAGGGTATGTGACAAGAATTCAGCAGCACGACTGAGTCTGGTCCCGATTACTATTTTTATCTATTTTGTTATATTAGTTTACGGTACATATTTCAAAGGGGCAATGAACAGTATTAGAATAAACAAGACAAGTCTACTGAGAAATAGTAAATTTAATTACATAGAAGTTCGAATCCCGGGTATAACAAGGCGGTTGATATTATGAGAATGAAATTTGTAGTACTAGTACCTTCTTCACTTTCCGAGAATGTTCTCAGCGAGTCATAAAGACTCTGTCTTCGACTCCTCAAACCAGCATTGATGTCCAGCGACAAACGTTGTTTATTTAGATCTGTCTCCAGTTCGGCTATGCGTTCCTACAATAGTAGAAATATTGGTACATTAGCCGCTTGTAAAACTAATTATTATTTTTAACCGACATAGAACTATGCTTATCCTGATTTGAGATGTTGCAAAAATTCAGAAAATGTAAGTTATATTAAATAAAGAGTAATTAAATATCGTTTGACGTTCTAGAGAGAATAAAAATCACCACAAAATCTTAAATTATACAAAATCAGAGAGTAGTTATGAGATGACTGGCCCAGTTTCTGATAACACTGTTAAACCTATATCTCTTCTTAGTAAAGAAATATAATTAAAGTTTCAGAAAATAAAGTCTTAAAGAAGCGATGATAGTCATTTTGAGGCCCATCCACTTACCTCTAAGCTCTGTTTTTCTGTCTTCAATGTATTAACCTCGTCGAGATATAATTTGTCCTCTGCGTTTAGTTCTTCTACCACTCGCGTTAACTCTGCCACTTTTTCAACTAGTTCGCTATTCGATTTCTCAACATCTGCCTTCTCCTTTTTCAGTCTGGAAATGCCAAAATAATTGTTAAATATTAATTTGTAAACATTTCTTATATTGTCTCAAATTACTAAGAAGAAAAAGATTTTCGCCACTGGTTTGATCTTAACGTAACCGAAAACTAAGAAATTACTTAGTTTTAATGAACACACTTTAAACGGTTTAAAACCCGAAATGTATTAGTTTACTTCATTACAATTCATTTTAATCACAGCCCCATGTTTCAGATGCTTTCCTCCCGTGACCAAGGCTGCTGCAAACCAAACGTCGGGACATAGCCAAAATAAATTAAAAATTAGTTTCTAATACATTTCGCATTTTAAACCGTTAAGGTATTTTATTTCAATGTGCACTACTCGCGTAAAGTAAACATAATAATAAATAGTTAAGTAAGTAATAAACGTTACCTTGTAATCATCTTGCAACTTATTTCCGCTGACTTTTGATAGGTCTTGATGTTTGTCTCCAATCGTGACAACTCTTTTGTCTTCTCTTTCATTTGTTCTTTCAGCTGAGTATTCTGCTCCAATAATCGTCTCGCCTCAAGCCTCAAGTCCTCCATGTCGTTCGAGCTGTGATCGACTGTCTCTTTCAAGATCAACACGTCTGAAGTGATTCTTTCAATTTCAACCTTGTTTTGTTGTATTAAATCATTGGCCTGTTGTAACTGTTCACATGCTAATTCCTTTTCTTTTTGAATAATGTCGTTTGCTGACTTTAATTTCTCTATTTCCTCCTTATACTGCTGTAATGCCTCCAACAGTTGTGTGTTCTTTGAAGGGCTCTGCTGCTTTTGATTGTGTAATTTATCTTCTAGAGCTAGTATTGCCAATTCCTTTCCAATAATCGTGCCTTTAAGTATATTTATCTCATCAGTAAGTTTAGCTATGACGTTTATGTTAGCCTCATTTTCCTCAACCTTTTTGTCGTAAGTACTCCTTAGTATGTTGTGCAGTGCTACTTGCTCTTGCAATTCTTTTTCTTTCTTATCTACTTCCTCGCGGTGCTTTCTGTTTACGTCACTTAGTTTATCTTTTAACTCGCATATTTGCTTATTTCTCTCTTCTAACAGAAGTTTTATATCGGTTAATTCCAATAATAGGTTACTATTTTCTTTTTGAACATTGGAATTGGTTTGCTTTTGTAACAAGCTGTTTAATAAATCCGATATGACATCATTGACAGGTGCCGAGGCATTTACAACTTGCGTATCAATAAGATTCTGCTGCGCTAACTTTTCGTATACTTTGGAGATGGTTTCACGAAGACCTTTTTCCTTTTTAATTATGTCTAGTGTCACCGCGTTACTGATTTCGTGTATTCGCTGTTTTTGTAAACGCAGAAGGTTGTAATCATTTTCCTTATTTTTAATTTCAGACTTAAGAGCCTCCAATTGCTTACTAAGAGATTGTAACTCCTCAGTAACATGTTGTATTTGACTTTGTTGCAGTTTATCATTTTGTGATAGTCTTATAATTTCTGACTTATGTTTTTCTTCTATTATATTGACAATATTCTCAAATACTTTAAGACTTTCTAAACCTAATTCTTTATCGACAATTTTACAGAAATTGTCTTTATAATATTCAATGAAAACCAGTTCATCACAGTCATCAGATACAGTGTTTAGAGCTAATAGATTATTTTTGATGTTAGATACCACTATAGCCATGGTTTGAAGATATGTATTTTTTTCTTCTACTTCTTTGCTTAGTTTTTCTTGGCTATCTATAAGATTATTCACTCTAAACTGTAGCGAGTTTCTAGACTCCTGCAGATCTTTTAATTGATTCACTAAGTTTTCCACTTCATTACTATGTTTTGTAATGAAGTTAGTGTGTAACATTTGCATGACATCAATAATTTTCATATCACAAGTGAATTTTTCTTTGTTCAAACCGGTTTTATCTATACAGTAATTAACACAATCTATTTTGTCCAAAGTATATATGTCCGACGGACGTTCTTCTGGAATGCCGTGGATAATCGATTTGTTCACAGACTCCTCAACATCTTCGCATTCTTTATTGAAGGACATTTTAAACGAGTCCCCCATACTGACATCTAAGTCCATAGCTTGGTCAACATTACTCCTGTCTAGATGGTTTTTGATATTGATGACTTCGTTTTTCAGCTCATTACAGTCCTCTTTACCGGCGTGAATTTCATTTTGTAGAGTACAAATTTTGTTGTAACGAGATGAGCTTTCCGATTCGCTGTAACTCCTACTCAATATCTGATTTGGTTCAGATATAAGCTTGCTTTTCAAAGAAGTAATAATGGAATCTTTCATTAAACATTCTGAACATTCCTTTATGTAGTTTTCACTGTCGTTACTATTTTCTTTTTCAGGTAAATCTGTACTTTTGTGTAACTCGGAATATTTTTGTGTTATTTCTGTATTACGTTTCTTTAATAACTCTACTTCATTTTTCAGACTATCTGCTTCATCTATGTTTTCCATTAATTGGTTAGAAAGAGTGTTATTTTCCTCTTGTAAATTTTTCAGCTCTAAATTTTTCTCATCTAGTGATTTCGTAAGTTTTAATATTTCGGACGATTTAATAACGGTCTCCTTTTCTGTATTCTTTAATTTGTCTACTAAGGCGTCGATTGACGGTATTTCTAAAACTAAATTATTATACTGGGACTCTAAATCCGTTTTTATAGTAATCGTTTCAGACAATTTTTGTTTAAGCAATTCGTTTTCATGTATAATGTTGTTCCTGGCATCTAATATTTCCTGGAGCCGTTTACAGTTGTCACAAGTTTTATCACCTTGAATGTTAGCTAGTGGTGTTTTCAAGGGACTATTAGCTGAATCCACTAACTTCGATTTATTAACCTTCATAAGTTCATATTCTTCTACTACCTCTTTTAATTTGTCATTTTCCATTTTAATGGATTCAATGTTTTGTAATATTTTAGATGCAGTTTTCATTTCAAATAAAGCAGAATCGGTTTCGAAGACATCACTAGTACTGGTCGTTTGACAGCTAACTTCTTTAGATATTTGGGTTAAATCCAAAGTTTGATCATTGCCAACCACGGTATTATCACAAGTAGTTAGAGTAATGTTAGTGTCTAACATTAACAGGTCCCCATCAAGTAGAGATTCGTATTTAAGCGATTGTAAAACACTATTATCTAGAGCACTGGGTAGCGAGTATCTTCTAAAGCTATCGTTGTGCTTATTCGAATATTCAGTTTTAAGGATGGTTAAAAGATCTTGTAATTGTTTTTTAAACTCAGGTATATCTTTCTCGCAAGACCTGTAAAAAAGGCTATGATAATGTTGGAGAAATTTGAGCTGTGAAGTTAAAGATTTGTTCTCGGCGTAGGTAGTGGCCGTTAACGTCGATAAGTTTGTTCTGTGATTAACGATTTTCTTTTGCAGTTCGAACATTGAATCGACAAGTAATTGAATTTCTCTTCGAGCATCTTCTTGTTCTTTTAATAGGTTCATGTTATCGTTCTGCACTTTTTCAACAACGTTTTCTAAATAATTTTTGTTCCCAAGTAAAATGTCGATTTCAGATGATAGTTCCGTGCATCTGCAATTACACTGCACGCCTGCGTCAGAAGGAACTGAATTTAAATCATCGCTTTCTACAGGCTGTATCGCTTCACATATTCTATTACAGCAAATAGTAAGAAGACTTGGGGGCGACTGTAACTCTGGAATTTCTTCGGAATTTCCTTTCGAATTAATGTCGTATTGGTTATAATTGTCACTGGAAACTGTCAGGCTGTGAGCGCTATATCTTTCTAATTGTTCTCTGAGCTTGTTGTTATCACTTTCTAATTCGTTTAACTGAAGTTTGACTTTTGTATCAGAATTCAAAAACTGTTCCTTCCATTGTAAGGCTTTCTTCTCTAAAATTTCGATTTCACTTGTTTTTGACTTAAGATCATCCTGCAACTCACCTAATATCCTGTTACTGGTCTTTAGGTCTTGGATTATTTGCACTTTGTCATCTTTTGCAGTGTTGATTTCCTTATACAGACCCGCCTTATCAACTTCAAACTGTAATATGTCATTATTTAATTTAATGTTTTCTTGGGTTAATGCACTGATTTCTGCTTTAGCCTCGGATATAATTGTTTCTATATGTGTACTTTTATCCTCATTTTCTGATGTTATTGTCTTATGGTAGTCCACTAGACTTTCAACCATCAGCAATATATGTTCCATTTGGTCTTTTCCTTCAAATCGTTGACTTTCAATATTCAATTTTGATAACACATTTCTAATTTTATTCTCAATAATGTGAAGTACTTGGTAGTTGTTCTCGAGTAATGAAGATTTTTCTTCTAATTCTATCCCTTTTCCAATTAGATCTTGCTTGATTTCATCTATTTCAACGTTTTTACAATCAATACTTTGTAATAGTGTTTTTTGTATTTGTTTCACAATATCAATAAAGTTTCTTATTTTATTTCGTAAGTCAGAGTTTGGTTCAAGATTTTCGCCAATTTCCTTGTGTATATTTGAATTATTATACTCAATAAGGTCTTCTGTAAAGCTATCTACTATTTTGTTACAATCATTCAACGTTTCTTTAAGTTGCATTATTTCTATTTCATGCTTATTTATTACCTCTAGTAGACTTACTTTATCATCATAAGTAAGAATAACATCATGTTTTGAACATATGTCGCTTTCCAAATTTCTTATTTTTTCGGTCATATGTGTAATTTCACTTTCGTACTTTCCTTTTAAAGTAATTATATCTGCCCTTAAGTTGTTATTTTCTTCCTTCAAGAGTTGTATCTGAATGGTGCTGTCGTTATTAATTTTATCAACATTAAACTTTACATTTTCAAGATCTAATAGCTTTTCTGACAATTGTTGTTCTGTAGACTTCAGCTGACTTTTTTCTAGTGTTAGGGTATGAATAACCTGAGCATTCGCAGCTAATTGTTCTTGTAGTTCCTGAATAGTGGTTAATGTTTCGCTAGAATCTGTATTCGACGTATTCTTTAACGTACATAATTCTTCGTTTTTCTTTTCTAAAGCAGTTTTTAGTGAGAGAATGACATTCTTTATATTTTCATTATTGGCAATAAATAATTGTTCACTTGCAATCAGCCTGTCGATATCGTTATCACCAATCACGACAACTGGATTAGTAAGCTTATCTTGTAGTTCCTGGATCATACTTTTGTAGGAATCAATATCGGCATTCAAAGTTATAATTTCAGCTTTGTGATCTTCAAGTAAATTTTTCAAATCTTTCATATTTGATTTGAATAGAGCATTTTCATTTTCTACAAAGAGAACGTTTTGTTTATATTCTGACAGTATTTCATTTAGTTCAATGTTAATTTATCTAAGGTTTCAATTTGTTTTCCGCTTGAATATATGCTTCTAGCTCAATAAAATTTGTTCTTTTGTAAAATTTGTGTTTTTAAATCCTCAGTCACGGCCATAATTTCTGTAGAAACTGTCTCTACCGGTTGGTTATTTTCATTTATTCTTAGAGGTGGAGAATTGAATGTTCCTAAAAAAGACATAATTAAAGTTTTTACAAGATATTTAATTTTTAATCTGCAATATTTCTTTAAAATATGAACTTATAAATTAGATACTAAGTATAATAGCAAGTTACCATTCCTCGTCAGATTTTTCTCAGCTGATTGCTCCTCTAGAAGGGAAAGTAATTCATTCTCTCGATTTTTCGACCTTTTCATTAGAGTGTCAAAACTAACTTCCAAGTCAGTTAATTTGCTTTGGTATTCTTTACAGAGAGCATTTAATTCCGTCTAAAATGATTAATGAGTAATTTGAAGGAATTTTTCATGGATAGTTTATCAATTATATAAAATTGGAAATTTTTATGGTTATTGTTATATTGTATTTTAGCAACCTTTACCTTAGCAGTAGATAGACTCTTGACTTCACCTTCGACTTGGGTGATTTTCTGTTGTAAATTTTCAATTAGCTCGTCTTTTTCTTTACACGAGTCGTTTAAAGCTCTATAATTGTCTTCAATTGCTAGCAACGCCGATGACTTTTCATCCAATTTATTCATCAACTCTACCTGAAATGTGATAATTAATATATGTATTGTTATAATTAGCTCTGTGCTAAAAAGCTCACAAAGCAAATTTATATCGAATGAAATTTCAAAGGCTTACTAACTATTCACTATAACTATAATTCTATTCATTGCAATTTTAACTTATTACATTTTACAAAAATATGACTTATATAATATAAAATACAAAAGTCAAACTTATGTATTTTATAAATTTTTTGTATGCACCGCTGAATAGAGGTAAAAGAAAAGTTTAGAAATTTTAGATTTTATCCTTCTATTTGATTACTATCAGCGTATCGCGCACTGTAATCTAGACCCTAACACTTGCGTATTTCGTGCTGTTCTCTACCAAATGAAAGGTTCATTTGGTAGAGAAACAACACGAAATGCTGACGATGCCAGTTCAAGTCCTGCTCGAGTCGCAATTTTTTTGCAATAGAGTACGCAATTACTGCACGCTGCAGGCTTCAACGCACTTGGTACATTATGGTATCCTAGTGGTTTCGATAAAATTATAATCCTTATGACTACCTCTAAGGATCAGCGGTTGAGCGGCTTGCCTAGTAAATGTTCCTTAAGAGGTTTGGAATCCTGGTGTAACCAATATGTATGTACGCGTATCAGCGACTTACATAGATTTTAATAAGTTAAAATTGCAAAGAATAGTGTTATAGTTATAGTGAATAATAAGTAAGTCCTCTATTAACTAATATTGTTAACTATAATTCTGAATTTTAAAACGAGCATATGAACCAGTATGGGAACTTACAACATCAGGCGAGTAAATTTTTTCCCTCTCGGTTAACTGAACAAGATCCTTAAGATTCTTCTCAGCCTCTTTGCAATTTCTTCTTAATATACAGGGTGGGGTTTTCGATTCTGTTAAAGCAGAATTATTTATTGTGGGTTATAATATACTATTTTTTAGTGTCATGACTTACGAAGAGAGCGAAACACTTAATCGACGTTACCGCGGTAACTGCCTTTAGATAATGTATTGTCTGTTCTTTATGCGAGTAGTACAAATTTTTATGAACATTTTTAACGGTTTAAAACGTTAAATATGTTAATTGCTTTACACCACAGTTGATCACGGCGGGCCGGGACATCGGATCGCAGTTAAAATAAATCCACTAAAGTGTATTATTTAAAAGCTTTCTAATATTATGTAATGTGTAAGTCTGAATAAATAAATCATACCACGACATGATACATGGTACGGTGAACAGGTTTGTGGATCGTCGTCATCGCTATCTGGAAACAATATGATGGTAAGTAAGTTAACGTAAACTAAATATTAGAAAATTCTATACAGACTCGTTAGTCTGGTGGTAAGCAAGATTTGTGACTTGGGTTATCAGCGAGTTCAGAATTTTCATCAACAGATAAAAACACATGTAGTGTAACCACATTAGGTTCAGTCTGTGGATTTCCAAATGTCCAGAGGGAAAATGTCATACGGCATTTACTCTTATTACTAAAAAAATTTTATATATCTTTTGTAATGTCTCTTTTACATACAGATTGATAATATCAGTTATAATTATAGAATCAGTGTTAAATAAACTCGTTATCCATTTAGTTTAATATTATTTATAGTCTTGTTATTAAAAATTCTTTAAGTTAATAAGCACTGGAGTGACATACACATATAGTGACAAAATGATTATGCATAGAAAAAAATGGCATTGACTGAGTGGATACAAACTTGTTGGTAGACTATTAAGTCATATTATACCTATTTCTATAACTGACTCATTGAAATGAACTTTGTTCTTTGGTGGTGGTGTTGTGACTCTTGGGGGCACTTCAGCCAGAGATGGAAGTGGTCCAGCACTGATGGGTACGAAGTCAGAACTTCCAGGTACTGAGAGAGGGCTGAAATTTAATACATATTTTTGGTAGGAGTGCAACAGTGTTACAATTATTAGATAATATAGGCAGAATCTATACTAATATTATAAAAGCAAAAACAACTGCTGTCTGTCTGTCCGACTTTAACTCTGAAACTACTGAACTGATTTAAATGAAATTTGGTACATTGATATTTTAGGGGTTGAGAGAGGCTACTTTTTAATATCAAACAGGGTTGATAGGGGTTGAAAAAGGGGATGAAAGTTTTTATGGAAATTCGTGGCTTTTGAAGCTGGAACAATAAAAATTTCTTCTTAAGACTTTTTGGGAATAGGAGTGGAAGTGAGAGTGGGAGTTAGAGTAGGAGTGATGTGAGGTGAATTAAATAATACTAACTTCATACAATAATAAACTCTGTATACGAATCGTCTGGCGAATACAAAAATAGCTCTGAGAAATTTAGCAATTTCGCAAGAAATATAATAAGTCATTTCCTTGACATTGAGGGGCCCTTGACGATCTGTTGACGTAACAAAAACAGTTCTCTAAAGAGTTTATTAAACGAGTATACAATATTTGCCAAAAAACGCATAGTTACTTAAAAGTTACTGCGTTTTATCAAGTACTTCAATAACAAATAACAAATTTTATCTAAATTTAATATTTCGATTCAGTTTTATAACCTATGGCACTAACACACGTGGAAATAATGTATACTAATATTAAAAAGCTGAAGAGTTTGTTTGTTTGCATGCGCTTGTCTCAGGAACGACTGGGTCGAATTCAAAATTATTTTTTGGTTGGAACATTTATCGAAGAAGGTTTTAGACTATAAAATATGTCACTGCCACTGCGATGCGAAGAAACAGTGGGAATGTGAAAAAAAGGGGGATAAATGGGGATAGTATTGACACCTAAAATAACTTTTCTAACGTGCCTGCAAGTCGAGCCTGTTATTGTATATACCTGAACGCGAAATGTTTATTTTGGATTATAAATAGATAATTGACTAAAAGATGTAGAATAAAGTATTTTTTAACCCTTCAATATAACAAATATGGTACACAACCATCACTTACTTATATTTCAAACTAGGTGTGCAGAATTTAGGGATGGATTTAGGCGGTGAGTCCTCTTGTATTGAGTGCAAAGTCGATATGGTCATGCGTCTGGGCTGATATAGTTTCCTTCTAGCCCCTAATATCATATCAGTACTACTTCGTTGATGAAAGCCGTTTAGTATGAAGCGTTGTAAATTTGCTATTTGTCGTTGTAAGTTGCAATTATCTTGCTGGAATTTAGAAAGTTATTATTATTCATAGAGCTTGCTAAAAATAAAACACAAGTTTTGTACCATTTGTTTAAGGAAATAAAAAAAAAGCAAAACGCAAAACTTCGCTTTGCGCACATCTGAGCATTTTTATAGAATAAGTTTATGTTATTCTTGGTGTAATCTTTCCAAAAAAGTAACAAAAACATCATATAGCCTTAACTATATTTATATATTAAAAACAGTAACTGAATCTTATATTGAATTAACCTATTGATTTTGACTAATGATATATATAATGATGTTAACTATTACAAAATTCATTGAAAATAAAAGTAAATGTCAGTTCAGGACAATGTTACTGACATTATATGGAATCTCTTTATGAATACTTTCAGAAGATATCTAAATCATGCAGACAGAGTTCCAAATAAATCATTAGTAACTTTCAATCTTAGGGATAAAAACTATTTTACTTTATAACATAAATAAGAGAAGGATTAGATGTCTACAAAAAATCTATATTAAAAAAGATTATTGCACTTGAATTTTATGGATGTATATGTCTTTGCCGATGTCTAAATTAACATAGTGCACTAGAATCATAGTGTTTGTACATTATAATGATGCAGTATTTATGCATAGTTAGTATTCCTTGCAAACATAACATGTTTTATTCATTATGTATGGCACTTGGGAATTCTTATACTAATCACACATAATGCCATAGGGAAAATGTGTATATATTGAAAGTTTATGTAAGAATATACATAATAATATCTAATTGTTAGTATTAAGTCTCATCTATATAATTGTAAATTTTTTTGTGCAATAAACTGTTAATAAAATAAATAATTGTGGTGTTTTTGTTAACCTCAATATTTATATTTCTATATGCTAAATTTATGCTGGCTTATGTTACACTTAATCACGATTAAAATTATAAAATTGTAAATACCTCAACATTTTTCTTATTTTCAAGAGCTGTCATTAAAGTAGATAACTGTTTTGTTAAATTTTGAATCATGCTAGCGCTTGTTAGTACTGCGTTTATTTCTGGTCGGTTCTTGATGGATTTGGCTCTATTTGCGAATCTGAAACATAATATGTAAAGTTCTTATTTCGTCCTTACTTTGAACAAAACAAAGTGTTCAATTTTTTATTAGTCTGCTCAAGGGTATTTTGGTGTCTATTGAGTTAAACATCTGATGATCATGCGTTATACTTACTGTAATGTAGATATAGTCTCTTCGACCGCGGCAGGTGTCACCGCACATATAATACTGGTCTTCGCGTTTCCTCCTAGCGAATTTTGCAAGATACGTGTCAATTTGCTATCCCTATAGTTAACATGTCTGAAAATTTGACGTAGAAAATTGTATTTCTTATTTGTAATGCGAAGACCACGTGTAATTAGATAAATGTATTGGAACGTCAAAGATCAAATCTGATATGCAACTGATAAGTATTATCAATTGAATATTCATATTTTATTTTATCTTTTTACAAAGTTAACATTTAATATAAATGTGGTTGTTTCCCGGTTATGATTACTAAATATGACCCACACATAGTAGGTCTAAGCCCAAACATCCTTTCTAACTAGAGACCACCGATAGGACATTAAAAATTATTTTATTTACTCTTGTCTGATTCTTGGGATAGCCCATTGTGTAATGTTTGGTGTAAATTGAGCAATAATTTAGAGTAGTATTGGTTTAGTAAATGCGAAAGCAAATACTTACTTATTTTGACCTTCTGACAATTGTTTTATAACAAGTGCTAAATTTGAAAGGGACCTGTTGATATGCGTTCCCTCTATAAACCGTAATCCAGTGGCACCAGTTTGCCCAGCACGTTCAGAGCCCGCTAAGTCAACCAAGTTTAGCTGAGAGACATTAACGGTACCCACCGATTCTTCTCCATCACTATGTTTACGAGATTCTATAGTCTGCAAAATTTTTCAAACTTTATTATGTCTAATGAAAATATTTTTTTTTTGCAAAAACATTTAATTAATGTCATAAGTCTTAACTAGATAATTTCAGAGATTTCAGATTCATACAAGACTTTCAGATTTTTTACAGAGAATTCCTATATTAAGACTGGCCTATATAGGAATACAGATGCCAAGTTATGTCTAACAGAAGTGAGTTATTAAATACTTTTTAGACCTTTTTAAAACACATATATTATACAAGTCCAATATAAACTAAAGGTTGTTTTTAGAAAAACAAAGTAAACATTTTTACCAGTTGGAGAGGGCTATAAGTATTTTGATCAATTATATTACTTACAATTTGAAATATGGAATGAGATCGACTACTTTCATCATTCATATTTGTAGATGCTGTTTGTCTGTTAGCTTTACCCTAAAAAAAAAAGGTGATAAGGAACATAATCTCTAATTATGCAGCTGGTTATGCACTAACATTTTATAAATGGTGTCACACAAATCATATCAAAGGAGCAAACAACATAATTATTAATATTCAAACAACATATTTTAAGACACTAACTTATATGGTAGTTGGCTAACAGTCTTATAATCTTTTGGGCGAAAGACAAAATGCCGAGGCCGAATAATGGCCGTGAAAGCCTTACACAATTTATTATACCACTAAATTGATAGTACCTCTTTCATTACATTAAGAACCTCTTCCGGAGATGTTGTCAGTTTTTCTGTAGTGTCAACTTTCAGACCTTGCAATGTGTCTTGTATTTTCACTTTTTTTTCTGAGTCTAATAGATCTGTTAAACTCTCATTATATATTTCTACATATGAGACTCTGAAAATAAAATTGATACTTTTTGATAGAGTTATATCATTTATTATTCTGTAGTTACAGTGTGTAATTATTAATTTTACATTTTACAGCACTATTTTTATTAGAGACAATCATAATATCTTCACATAGAGATACTTGTTTATAAATGCTAACCCTACAATTACCTCTTAAGCAAAAGTACTTACCTCACAAGGAAATCTCTGTCAGGAATATCCTTAATCATTTCAAATAAGTTAGACACAGCTAGAGGTATTATTCCAGGACTCTCATCTGTGCCTGTCATTGTATATGTTTTTCCAGATGAAGTCTGACCATAAGCAAATATTGTTCCATTGAACCCAGCAAGTGCTGCTTTCACTATTGGCTTAGCTATATCATTGTAAACCTCACTGGTTTGAACGGCCTTATCGTAAACTTTGTCTAAAAATTACACAACATGCATTATTACCTGGCCTTCGTAATTACTTATAAGGTGTTTTGCATTAGAGGCGCACCAGCAGAACGGCCTACACAAGTTTTAAATGGCTTACCGTAAGTGAAACTTGGACCGATATCTCTTCCATTTTGATCGATTTGGTAAATTGTATTTTGGTTTACGCGCCATTGGTAGAAAAGTTTGTCTTCGATCTCGCGAGGTATGAGCGGCCGAACTTTTATAACTACTTTTATATTGTCACTCATTTTGTATCCTGTACTACTACTCCTTGAAGCTTAGCATATTCGTTAGTTACGATCTTAAACAAAGCGATTGAGGTATTATAAATACTGAAGAATCATAATTACAATAAATAAGAAATAACACCTTGACGCGGAGAAAATTTAGTTAAAATGGTAACCGACTTTTTTAAAACGCATACCATGTCTGTAACAATTTGACAGCTGAGAATTGACAGTCTAGTGGATTTTTTCAGATTGTCAGATGCCTGTCACTTGACATAAAATAACTAAGGTGTTGGTGTTATTTTACTACATCTACGATGTTTTTGTGAATTGAAATTGTACGCTCCACGTGATTTTTTATAAATTCCGTAGTAAATATATCAGTATTTAAATACATGTTAATAAAACGTAACCTATTTCAAAGATGCAGCACGACGATGTAAGTAATATTTGTTATGTTTTGAGTTTGAGTTCTATTAAATGGCTATTAATCTTGAAAACAAATTTTTAGGTTGCGTGGGCCATCATCAACAAGACACATTGTTCACACAAAGTAACGTTAGTAACATTATTTTAACAATAATTCTATATTCTTTCACGGCATTATATTCTAAGATAATGATATTTTTTACAGTACAAAAACGCAGCAATTCTGCCGGAACGAGTATAACCTAACAGGTTTATGTAGTCGCGCATCTTGTCCGCTCGCTAATAGTAAATATGCAACTATTAGAGAAGAAAATGGTATAATATATCTCTACATGAGAACAGCTGAAAGGTTAGTATAATTATCTAAAGCTTCAACATAACGAAATTAATTTACAATAACCCATATTTTAAAATATAATTATTTAAGATTGGAACATTGAAAGAACCAAGATTCAATTGACTTGATTATATATACACTTTTAAGTAACATATAAAGGTCAAACACACATTGGGGTGCTTAAACCCGATAGATACATGCATATAAATAAAGTAGATGCCACAAACTTCAAAATAATCTCTTTACTAGTGAAATTTGTTTTTTTTTAGATTAATGTTTCCAGCTAAACAATGGGAGAAGGTAAAATTATCAAGGAATTTTGAAAAGGCTATACATCAAATCAATGAAAACCTACTGTACTGGCCAAATTTTATAAAATCAAAATGTAAACAAAGGTTTTTAAAAATAACACAGTATCTAATTCGCATGAGAAAACTCAAACTCAGAAGAGTGTAAGTATCAATAGTTGTATAAGGCTTTTGTTATCATTTTCAAAACTACTTTGGTTTTAGAGCCGTTGGCCAATGACTTTGTGCATCTCCTGAAAATCACATTAACTTGTGATGCCAAATCTATGATATTGAGACCCAAATCTCAATTACTACAGTGGAATAGTTATAAACCCTTTTATATGTCTAAAATGTTTTGTCTCGAATGTTTCAGCCCAAGTTACACATCTAAGCAAAGTCTAAATTCCATGTATATATTCTACTTGTAAAATAAAAAACTGCCATTCCACAGTTTGTGCATTTCAATGATTATCTCAATGGGTTTCCATAACTTCGATTTTACTAACATTATTTTGTTCTGTATTCCATAGAAAAGAATTAGTTCCAATACAGCGTAAGATAGAACGCCGTGAAAGGAGGCGTGAGGAAAAGGCTTTAGTTGCAGCCAGAATAGACAATGCTATTGAAAAACAACTACTAGAACGATTAAAGAAAGGAACGGTATGTAGATAGATTTATCCTGGGTATTTGTCTTAGTTTATTTAAATTCATTTGTCAGAGATACAAAACAAATACATACCTATAAATTTTAAAATAAAGGCGAGGGTATATGTTGCCGTAGCTCGTCGTTGTGTCGTCGTTGGCGTCCCTTCCGGACGTTCTTGCAAGTTAATCCTGAAAGATAGACATATAGCGCCGTGGTCTTTTTTTAGATCATTTAAAGTTTCAAGAAAGAAGGTTCAAGAGGAATCATTCTTTCATACATATTTTTGGGTATTTCGAACCGTTTTTGAAACCTACGCCTCGAAAACCCATAATGATGAATAATTTTCCCAAATTGTTCGCATTTCTCGGTGTATTTTTGCTTGTATTAGTCACAGGGTAATGTTTTATAGCCTATAGTCTTCCTCAATAAATGATCAAACCAACACAAAATTTTAAACGACATTTTTTTCAATTCGAGCCAGTAGTTCTCCTGACATTAGCGCGTTCAAACAAACAAACTCTTCAGCTTTTTATATTAGTATAGATAGTCATCAAAGTTTTATTAAATCAATATTTGTTGCAAGAAATCAACTTCATATATCTTTCAGTACAATGATATTTACAACTTCCCGCAAATGGCGTTCGATGCGGCACTGAAAGCAGAGGAGATCTCTGACGAAAGTGAGAGTGAGAGGTCAGAAGAAGAGGAGGAAGAAAAGGAAATGGAGCCAGAATTAGAAAAAGAATTGCAGAAGAGTATGGAAACAGTTGATGAGTTTATTGAGGCAGATAGTGATATGGACAGTGATGCGGTTAGTTATTGTACACATTATATTTCATAAGTTTGGCAGCAGGACAGATTTGAAAATATTTTTAGATATATAGACTATAATGTATAGATAGATTTAGTTAGTTAGATTTTTAGATAGTTAGATTAGTTTTCTAGCTTACATAGAACTGTGAATGTTACAGGATAGTGAATCAGGAAAGAAGGAGGATGCGGAGGTCGGTAGCGATTTTGAATCTGAAACGTCAGATATTGAGGTATGTCACCGTATTATATTAAGGTCAACATTGTTTTATTTAAAAATGGCTATATAGTAGTTAACTTATTTTTAATTTAATTTAACCACAGCCCCATGTTTAGTATATGTAAAAATATATTGTTTGTTGTGTAATAATTCAAGTAAATTAAGTCATAATTTTGAATAATGTAGATAGACAATCATTAATTATGTCTTAGTAACCATCTCTATTAGTTTTAGATGAAATTTTCTTCTTCTTTTTTTCAGGATATATCAGAAAAGTTGTCTAGCAAGAAGAAGCCTCGCGTGGAAATTGAATACGAGACAGAACCGTCAGTTGTTATTTCTAAGAGGAAAATAAAGTAATGATTTCAAATATACACGTTTATCAATTACCAATTGCGCGAACAAATTGAAATAAAAAAAAATCATAACTCAATTTCTACGTGCTTATAGGCCAAACTCAATTAGAAAAGCTAAAATTTTGCGAAGTTTTATTAAGATTAATTCAGTTCTTTACAGCCGAGTGTTATCTTAGGTATTGAATAAGAAATGAATTTCGGCTGAATGGAGCGAACGGTCTGTATATTCCAGGGTCATAAATGCAGAATACATAAAATTAGTAGGAACAATTATATACTATTATTGCTGAATACATATTGGCTTGGAGCAAGTTTATGGCAGTCCCTAAGAAATAGTTACTAACTGTAAATAATGACTTTGTCAAAATAAGTAAGAAACAAAAGTCCTTCATCATAAAGTCTTCTGCCCTGTTCTGCAAGAAAAAAGTGATCCGAGCTAAACACAATCCAAGGTCTTCTAAAAGCATACCCAAATTTTTTTATCAGTAATCCAAATTGTGAAAACATAAGAATTTCCCCTCTTAATATCAACTATACTAAAAGGTAGGCAACAATACATATAATACAGTATAAATTAAGTAAGATTTGTGAGTTCTTATTCATCAGAAAAAGTTTTATGTTACTAATCGTACGCGGTATGTATACAGATTTTATACACACCAAGCTGCCCCTACTGTTCCTTTGATTCTGTGCCATAATCTTTAAAGTCGGCGCGACAGTGCTCCTGAGTTAATTACACTTATCCGTTAATTAAGAAAGTTCTTCAAATCAGTTTCTATTCACACTATATAACCAATATATTATATTTCATGTCGATGTATAACAAATTAAATTAATAAAACTTAATGGTGACGGCAGTAAAAAAAAAACATTTCTTTTTAATTAAACAATAATTTACCCACGGTATAAAAGTAAAGGATAACAGCATATACTTATAGTTAGAAAGCTGCTGATCCCAATAAATGGTTTTGGTGTAAGGTTGGAAAGGACTCTTATAATTTATAGCATGCTAAGGGTAAGCCATGACCCAACTGGCGTTAGTCCTGCACGTCATCAGACCTTTAACATTCGAATTGAAAGAATATTTATAGAATGTTATTCCTAAGTTTACTCATCGTTATTTTTGAAAAAATATATTGCCAGGAAGGGAAACAACAACTTGTTTCGGGCACAGAAGTCTGACCAACCGTCGAAAGAAAGATTAGTGTCGACACAAATGTGTTCACCCCGTGCCCAAACGGGGGACCGGAATACTACTATCATATCATCAATGGAATGAAATTCTAGGAATCCATAATCCCCCTTTCTCATTTATAATATACAACACATTACAAAAGGTTTTCGGCTTCATGCGATATGCAATATTGTCCGGGGTGCCAATAGCCGGCGCGGGCACTAAATACTAGAATGTTCCTTTTAAAACGGAAACTTAAAATGCAATATCATTTATCTCAGCGAGTCGAGCTCAAGAGTCAGCTCGATTAGCCTGCAAAATTGCAAGCAGTAGTTAACCACAACGGCCCAGATGCCCGTCTAGATACTAGAAGATTGGCTCGCTTTCTAATTGTTTGCCCCGAATGTGTGGCGACGCGAAACCCAGCTATTGGATTTAGGTCGCTTCTCTGTTAATTATACGTCAGGTCAGGTTGGCTTGTGCGTTGAGGACTTTCTTGTTATTGTAGGATACAAATAAGTGAGGGTAGTTATACATAAATAGATATACTAAACTATACCCGTTAGAAGCTACGAGATAGCTTGTGTGATGATGATACAGCAGGCGTTGTCAAGACTGGGTAAGAAAGTTAAATGAAAGATAATTCTCTCATTGAGGTAACTATTTTATTATTATTAATAAAACCCTTTATAACAAAATACAAATACAGTATGACTATATATTTAATTTTTAAGGTACTATATAGAGTTAATGCAAAGGCAGCTTTATCCTATGGCGGTTTCTTCCAGCCAATTGCATACAGATAGGAGAAACAAATTAACACACAAGGGAGTAAAAATTATTAAGGATGGGACAGAGTCTATAATAAATTTTAAAATAAAAGTCGTTACTCGTACTTAAACAGTACAAATTTAAGATTCTCACAAACATGAATTTATAATAATAAAATCAAGACTAAACAACAGTTGAAGGAATTGAGACTTTGTGAGAGCGGGTGGTAGCTTATTACATAAAATGACGGAAAGGAGACGAATATAGGAAGAAGAAAGGTCAAAGTTCATAGGAAGAAACAAGTTCAAAGAGTAGTGACGGCCTGAGTTTTAATTAATAAAAAGATTAGGTATGTGAATTTCTAATAATTTTATTTTTTTATGTAACAATTGAGAAGTAAATTAAATACAAAAATTTAAAATAATATAAGTATTCGACGCTTACGACTAGAAAATTATTAACGAATAAAATTATTGTTTTCTAAATTACCCTTAAATTATACTATAAAAATATACAATAATAATACCTTAAATTAAATTATATTATAAGTTTTTACTGCCCTTTCAAGGGTTACTTAGCGACTGAAAAGTTATACTAAAAGAGAATCTACCTAAAAATGTTGCGAAAATTTTCACCCATTTTATTTATAAACCTCGGTTTTAAACGATTCAGGAGTGTGTATATTTCCAGGCAGCTAGAGCACCTTTTTTTTCGTAAACCACACGCAGATGTGTTTAAAATCCTCGCATTTGTTTGAAAAAGTCGAATATAAAACACTCCCGAGCTGTAGCGCGATTCTCAAGGGAAACATAAAAATAACGTTAAATGGAGTTTTGGTGGTGTTGTGTATGTATAACACTTATCTATACATAATATGAGGCCGCTAGAAGCACAGTGGCTTAATGACATAAAACACGATTTTCAATTAGGTAGAAGGAAAATAAAAAGGCGCAATTCACTTAGGCGAAGATGAATTTGTACTATTATTTGGGTAAAAATGATGTTCGGTTACTGTGCTCTTGTAGAATAACATTTTTAGAATATGAAAATATAAATAACTCAAGTCATAATATTGCAGTTAGGCTATTTTGCCTCTAGCGTAAATTAGATGTCAATTAATAGTATTTAAATAGAACAATTTCAACGGTTTCAAATTGCGAAATAAACTAGTCAACCTGTTACTTTAGCGCCACCTACGACATCTGTCTGATCTGACTTTGACTTTAGGGTCATCCTCCATCTTTAGTCATCCGTGGTCATGGCTGCCGCAAAGAACTTGAAACGTCAGGCTGTAGTTAAGATAAATTATTACTACTACATTTTGCGTTATAAACCGTTAATATTGGCTTATTAAAATGTGTACTTCTCGCGTTAACTACGCAATAGTATTTTTTTTTCGAATGGTATGAATTATCTCAATTTGCCGGACGATTTGAGTATTCAAATTGCCTAAACAAATTGTAATACTTATTTGAGAATGGCTATGAAAAATTCCATTCGCGGTCTCCCTATAAATTGAATCTCGGAACAAGCTCAGCGCCTGCGAATATTTTGTGAATAAATATTTGATTGGGCATTCAGCATTAATTAAATGATTTCACTTTCATTCAAAGTTATTAATTATTGTGGTTTTACAGGAGAATACTAATTAATAATTCGCTTAGAAAATGCGTTGAATCGTCTTTAATCTAGCAAATTAGTTTATTAGATTAATAATTAATTTTGGTTTGAATTTCATTAATTACTAACTAGCAGCTGTAACGAATGTCGAGATGGTACAAGTAGCTGAGAGTTAAACTGTTAAATAAATTGTGATTTATTATATTGTTAAAGTAGCGAATAATAACTTTGTTATAATATAATCTTTTAATAAACACACTTATAAAATTGCTTATGTTTTTACGTATTACAAATAGTTTGACTAAAGCGCAATACTAAATAGTTGATTTATAATTCATAACTAATGAACTTATAACTATATTTAGTTCCCTACAAAGATTTATTTATTCGTATCCCACTAAATGAACATTTTTATAAGACAGAACTTATTTATGAAAAAAAAACTCAAGACAGAGTAGACAATAGTGTTCGCAGGTAAAATATATCAATTTAATATCAGTATTCTAACCAACATGCGCCTTCGACCTGTCTATTAGGCTTTTCTATTAAATTGGGTCCGTGATTGTTATTACATAAATTGTGTTGATTTTTCAAACGAATATTTTATTTTAGGATACTCCAAATGAAACAATGTTCAGTATGTAATACGCAAAATTATTATATACTAGCTGTGCCAGCGACGTCGTCCGCCAGAATCGTTATTTTGACCATCCAAATTAGTTTTTGCAAACCCCGTCATCTTTATAAACTTAGCTGTTAGCTACGACGTCGATCGCGTCCCTTCCCGTCGTTTTTGAAAGTTAATCTTAAAAGATAGATAGATGGCGTCACGGACTTTTTTTTACATTCTTTAAAGAGGAATCATTATTTCATACGCATTTTTTAGGTACCTTGAACCGTTTTCGCAGCGTACGCATCTGAAACCCACAGAGATGAAAAATTTTCCCCGTCTTGTTTACATTTCCCGCTGTATCTTCGCTTCTATTAGTCACAACGCGATGTTTCATCCTATAGCCTTCCTCGATAAATACCCTAACCAATACAAAAATAATGTTTCCATTGGAACCCGTAGTTCTTGAAATTAGCGCGTTCAAGCAAACAAATAAACTTTATTGATTATTATAATGTCTGACGTTTTTATGACCCGACGTTTCGGAAACTTTTTGGCAGCCATAATGACAGATCAATTTTAGTATCTAGTTTTAACTAGTTTCATTAAATGTCTATCAGTCGCGTAAATAAAAAAGCCCCTTCCTCTTAACCTTATCTAACGACGACCAGATTTCGTTAAATAAAAAAGGAAAAAACACTTTCATATCTCAAATCAGAACAAATCACCTAAATAAATAACAGTACAGTTTCCATCGCTGTTTGCGTTTTTCAACCGGCGGACGAGACAAATATAAATCTACTGATTTATGGCCAGTCAGTCACAGCAT